GCCAAGCTGAGCTGGGTCCATACTGTGGATAGACCCCCTCACTCTCCAGTCAACTGATTTAGGGCCTTAATTACACCCACAAAACCTCAGCACCTCTGTAGTCTCCTATCAGCAAGAAAGCATCCATGGCAGGGGACGGTACTCGGGGGCAGAGTTCATGGGGGCCATTTGAGGGTCTCTCGGCCACACATTAATGAAATTAAACTTAAACATGACTTTTACCTTCTGCATTTGCAACTCCCCTTGTGTATGCTTCATAGTAACGTGTCTTGGGAGGTTCTCTGTGAACATGTGACTTTGCCACAGCCCCAAAGACTCTCTGAGCTCGTCTACTCCTGAGCCTCATGTCCCCAGGGCTCCAGGCATCCTGGCTCCTTGCCAGGACCTGGGCCTTTGCACTTCATGTTCCCTCTGTCTATGCCACTCTTTCCAAGAGATCCACGCTCTGTGCCTTTACTTTACTCAAGCCTCTGCTAAAACGTCACCTCAGAGACATCCTACAACTGCTCAGAGAGGCAGCAACCAGGAGCATGAGCCCCAGGTCTGCTCACCTGAAGGTTTAAGTCCCAGCTGCCTCTGTCCCTGCAGTGTGATCTCTCCACAGTCACCCTGGGTCAAGGGTCACCTTGGTCAAGTAAAGACAAGGGCATGGCTCCTGTGCATGCTGTCTGACTCACTCCCTTCTACCTGGAGTGAAAGGTACCCCCTCATGTGGTTTCAGGGCAGCACGTTTGCCTGCTTTCTCAGAAGTCCAGAGGCCTTGGTCAAGGGTCCTCCACTGCTCTTTTCCCTGTGCTGGCCACTTTTTGCTTTCTGGAGAACTTTCCGTTAGGATTTTTAAGTTGACTTTCTTGGGTTCATTAATCTTTTTAGTGTAGGGTTGGTCTGCAAAAAAATGGTCAGACAGGCTTTTCCCAAGATGTCTAGATTAGGGTTTTTCCCAAAACACATTAGCTTGGTATGTGAACAGTGGTTCACATACCTTTGTTAACTGATGTCCTATGGGCCTAGGGAGAAACTGTCATCACCTTAAAGAATGTAGATTATCTATATGTAGGGGCATCTGATGAAATAAACAGTTCATCAGAGAAATGTTTCTTAAGACAGGGCAAGTACCTAGACACAAGGAACAAAGGTGCCTGGCTCATGGAGGGGAGATTGTATGAAGTCATTCCCTCCCTGTTGTGTGGCCGCCCGCCCCCCGCCACCATGCCCAGGCCTCTTAGTTCAGCATATAAACGCCCATCTTGTTCCATGTATCAGTACTTTAGAATCTACTGCCTTGTAAATTCTCGACGTTTTTAAATTTGGTCTTTTCTCCTCCTGATCTGTCTGATGTTAATTGTTTGCTTGTCCAGCCCAAGAACCCAGAGGGTTGGGAACATTTTACCTTGTGCCCTCTCGATGAGCACAAAAAGCCAGTAACTATGCTACTGGAGTCTGAGAAGAGTTTAGTGCAAGATCATCTTACAAGGAGACCGGAAGCCAGGCTCAAATCAGCTCCTTGAGTGTGGAACTTTGGGCAATATTTAAGGCGTGTATACACTCCTTATACCAAGGTATAGAAAAGCGCAAGTTGGCAGAGTCTGGTTGTGTTCTGCTGGATCATGGCATAACTCAAATTTAGGTTCATAACTGCAACAAAACTGAGTGCCCCCTGCTTCTAGCCTTAACCATGAGCTGGGCACCTTGGTTCATTTTCCTATGGCAGTGTTCTTGTTGCAGTCAGTTGAGAGGGCACCTCCAGAAAAGCAAATGTTCTTCTGAGCCTACACTCTGAAACGCGACTTGTCAACTTATGAGAAAAAAAATTTTCTTTTAAGCTGTGTTTGAGTGTTTTGTTCCATTGTTTTCATCTAGTTACACAATTTATGGTCAAGCCCTCCTGATCTTTAAGATAGGCAGAAACAGGAAAAAAACTGACACAGAAAAGTGTTGAGATGGCAGGACCATCACAGTGTCACCACTCACCAGCATTTATGGAGGGAGAAAGGTGGGGGGGGCACTTCTGCTAATCTCTGTATTTTTTGCTCAGGTCCTTCCAGCATTTTCAACACACGATTTACCCATTATCTGGGGGGACAAAGTGGAATCCACCCCTTTAATACAGATTGGATGCCCGTTATGTGTAAGGTAACCATCAAGACTTGGAAATATCAATATGAGTAAAAAAGTCACCCTCTGAAAGATCTCACAGTGTGGTTGGGGAGACAGATGCGAAAATAAACAACAGAAATACAACTTGTGAGGGGACGGAGTGGAGAATATCCATAGCAGAAGCACATGAAAGCCCAGTTCTACTTTCCCCTGGGTTCAGTAAGTTGAGATCTGAGACTTTGAAAGCTGAATGAGAATGGACAGAAGAAAAAAGAGGGGAGACACACGGACAGTGGGGGCTATAAGAGGGAAGCCCCTGTGGGGAAGGGCACACAGTTGTGAGTTCCACCAAGGCTACGGCTTGAAGGCTCATGAGAGCTGCAGTAGAAAAGAGGCTGCCAAGGAAGTCAAAGCCAGGTGGGGAGAGGCCCTCTGGAAAATCTAAGCTCTCTTGTGGCTGACAGACAGTCTTTGAGGAGGTCTAGCTGGCCCAGCATGGCATCAGCCCAGTCACTCACACAGACATCTGTCAACCAGCTGGAGTGGTGACGTACTCAGTGTTGGTTCTAAAGTATTTCCAGAGCTCTCTCTAAGCAGTGGCAAACTGTTTGTTACCCCAACCTGAACAAGCAGAGGTTGTAATAAAGATACTAGTAAAGTGTGAGTGCTCCTTGGGTGCCAGGCATGTAAGTGCCAGGCATGTAAGTGCTGTACATTCTCACTTCATCTTTCCCACACCCAGAGTAGCATGTGGTGCTGCTATTCCCATTTTACAGATGAGGATACAGCTCAGAGGTGTGACTCCCACAGAAGTGATAGAGCTGGAACTTGAACCCACTGTCACTGGCCTGGGAAAATGGTGGGATGGAGAAAAGACAAGAAACGAAGGTTAAAATTAAGAGGTATAAATGGGCAGTATCTAGATGGGATGCCCAACTCATAAATTATTTAATAAAGCCCCCACCCTCCTAAAAAAGTAGAAGGGTTATCACTTGTGGTGAGGGCAGAAAAATGCAGCCTGAACACTGAAGAGAGTCAGCCTGCAAAGGCTGAGAGAACTGAGGGGTTGAAGAGGGAGGCGCATGATCCCTAGGCGGCTGGTTGCATCAGGCCCCTCAAATGCTGGAAGCACCATGGAGAGCTCCTAACTCCAGGTTTCTTTTCATGTGGAAACTGAGGCCAGAGAGGAGAAATGGCTACAGTGTCACAGACAGATTGGAAGTGAGTTTTTGCATCCTGCTAACATAGCTAATCTTCCTCTAGGAAGTAACCCCTTTGCCTCAATGAGCATCCCTGCAGTGGGTCTTATTTGGGGCTGCCATAACACAGATACCAGCTTGGCTAAGTTACACAACATTTCTCTCACAGTTCTGGAGGCTGGGAAGCCAAGGATAAAGGTGTCTGGGGAAGGCCCACATTCTGAATGTAGACAGCCACCCTCTCACCGTGTCCTCACAGGGGGAGGGAGTGTGAGTTTATGTCTCTTTTTATAAGGGCACTACCCCCATGAGGAAGGCTCCACCCTCAAAACCTAAACACCCCCCAAAGGCCCCATCTCCAAATACCAAGCCACTGGGGGGCAGGATTTCGACATTCAAATGGAGGGGGGGACACAAACATACAGTATATACCAAACCACACCTCCAGCCTAAACCATGCTACAAATGCCACTCCCTCAAGTGCAAGCTCAGGTCAAGGTTATTCACAAGACTCCAAAAAACCATCCAGGGTCAATCAGAAGCTTCTGTCTTTTCTCCCACTGAAGTTGGCTTAAGTGAGTTTTCCCCAGACACAGATAAGGGAAAAGTGGATTGTTGCTACGCCTAGCCTTTCATCAATCACATATTTTTTCATTCTCCATCCTAGTTTTGGGAATACCACCACAACCTCTCTGGGTTGTTGGAAGGATGAGCGAAGAAAGTGCATGAACATCACGCACATAGGTGCCTGGATCCAGCCAGCACTCATATTAGCCAGTACCTTTCGTAGCCACCTGAGCTAGTTTCTCAGTTGCTACCAACACAAGAGTCTGAACAAAACAGTGACCTGTTACTGCTAGTACACCACCAATATCCATAAAGTTACATGTTTCCAGGCCGTCCTCCAAGATCCAAGCTTTCAGTCTGTGTACTCTGGGGCTACATTTCAGTTAGACGGAAACCACCTACACACCTGTCTCCTACACACCCACGCACAGCTCTCCTCCTTCCTCCGGTCACTGCCGCTCCCAGCACCCTCTCCACCACCCCCTCTCCTCGCCTGCGGGTGGAGAACACACGGGATGCTCCAGGGGGCCAATCCAGCTGGGCGGTGGGCCGGGTCCTGGGGATCCCGGGATGGTCCCCAGGTGGGGATCCGGTGGAACCGGGAGAGGGGAGATGGGCCGGATCCTGGGGATTAGGGGGTCGGCTCTGGGGGAGAGAAGGGAGATTTTAGGGAGCCACAGGCCAGTTCTGGGGGGGCGGGCGGGTGGCGCGGGGAGTCAACGGGCCGAGTCCTGGGGAACAACGGGTCGGTCCCTGAGGAGCAGGGGGCTTCGGGCCCGGGACCTGAGGGAGAAGGGGGCAAAGGGCCGGGTCCTGGAGAGGAGAGAGGCGACGGGCAGGGTCCTGGGGGCGGACGAAGGTCGGCCCGCCCGCATCGCTCCGGGGAGCCAGCCGGACACTCGCCGCCCCGCCGCCCGCGGCTCGGACCGTCGCGCGACCCCGGAAGTGGGCGTGCGTGCGACCCCCCAGGCCTGCCCGAGCCTCCCCCGACCCAGCCAATCACTGCGCACCCCGCCCCGCGTCACGGCGAGACCAGCCAATGGCGCGGGCCTGGCCGCCGCTTCCTGCCCGCCCGCTAGCCGGCGCTGGGGGAGGGCCGAGCGCCTCGGCGGCCGCGGGGACGCGGCGGTGGCGACCCCGATCGCGACCCCCGCCGGGTGGCGGCCCTGGTGAGTGCGGCGGCGGGCCGGGCTGCGGGACGCGCCGCGGCCTCGCGGACTGGTTGGGCCGGTGGAGGCGGCGGTGTTTCGCCCGCATCTCGCGCGGAGAGAGGGAGGGGGGAGGCAGGGTGGCGCTGCGCTCCCCCGCGCACCCGGCGGGGCGCCGCCCCCGTCCCCGACCGCGGCGGCCAGGTGACACCCCGCCCCAGTCTCCGCGCTGGAGTGATTTGGGGCGCGAATCGCGGGAGTCCGGGGGTTCTGGAGACTCGAGCTGCGAGGAGCCCGCCTCCGGCAGCAGTGGGCGCAGATCTGCTGCGGCGTCAGTGTGGGCAGATGGAGCGCGCCCGGCGCCCGCGGTGCTCCGGTCGGGGGCAGGGCCCACCTGTCGCCCAGGTGCGCGGAACCCGACGGGAACCAGCCGGACTCGCGAGGATGGGGGCGAGCAGTGGGTGTCCCTTTCGAGCGGCGGGCTCGGGACACCTCCGGCTGTCAGCCGGGCGAACCCTGCTCTTCAGGAAGGACTCAATTGCCTTGCACGTCCTGCTGTTTCCTCCCACTCTTTGGGCCTGTCGTCGCCCCCGCCACTGGCAGGCAGTAAACGACGACGTTAGTAACCTGGGTTCTCTGTTTGCATTTGGAGTGGGAGTGGCGGGCTGTAACAGAAAACAACCCCCAGCATACTTTTCAGGAAGGAGCCCCAAGGCAGATTACCTTGGGACTGTGTCCCTCCCTCGACCACACCCTACCCTCTTTCCCCTATTTCCCACCTTCCCTGCTGCACCCTTTGGTCTCTGACGGATACTGTTAATGAACCCAGAAATCAAAACAGAAAGCAGATGGCTCTGAAGGTGGTGAACAGGACTTGTTGGCAGAGTCGCTGTGGAGAGGACTAGGCTTCCTTTTGCACTAATCATGTGTGAATCAGAGGTTGCTCTCTTGGAAGGTGTTCCCTCCATTCCTTCCCTCGCCCCGCCCCCCAGGACCCCAAAATCATGGAACTTAATGCTCCAACCTCCTTTTTTAAGATTCCCCGGACCCAGTCATTCAGTATTTCTGCATAGGTTACTGGATCACCTCCCAGCCAGGAGTTGGTGGAGGAAGGAGAGAGGGCTACATTGGCAGTCAGAAAGAAGGTACATCTGACCAAGGATGTTCACCCCTTGTCATCTTTGACAGGGCAGTGACTGGTGCCTGGGTCTCTGCTCTGAAGGGAATTTGTACACACAAGCCTCACCTATCCAGCAGAGTCTTCCATTAGCTGCTCATAAGGTTCAATTATCCCTGTGTGGAAATTACTGCTTAGTCATTTCTCTGAGGGAAAGTGTATCAAATACAAGTGAAGTCCATTCATTGAGTTCAGTTTGCAGAGAGAATGACTTAACTAGTTGCTTAGACAGTAAACTGTGAGCTTAGAAATATCTTTGAAGACTAAACCCACAGAAACAGTCCCCACCCCCTAGAAAAATCTTACATCCCCCCCCAGCAATTTATAATGAGAACTTTCAAAAAGACAGCCAAGTTGAAAGAATTCTACAATAAACACCCACATACCCACCCCTGAGATTCTGCTATTGACATTTGACTGGATTTGACTAACTATCCACCTTAGTTTTAACCTTAACTAATTGATGAAATTTGTCTCCCCTGGAGCAATATTTTCTTCTTGGCACAGGAAATCGGCAGTAGTGGACACTAGTGGTGGTGATTATCCCTGAACATTGGTTGAACATGGGGCTAGGGAATAAAAAGGCAAAAGACTCAGGCTGCCCAGAAAAGGAAGTGACTTTTCTTTTTGAGACATAGAAGGTAAACGGCAGCTAATAAAATGGCATCAGCAATACCCGTTGACTTCTTGCTGGGAATCGAGTACTGTTTATTATAAGCTCTGTATCTGTGTAATTTCATTTAATTTTCATAACTACATAAGTCCATTGCTGTTCCTTTTAGAGATCAGGAAATGAGGCACAGAGAGGTTACTTGGCTTTTGGTGGGGCTAGAAAGTGGTGGGACCAGGAATTGAATCCAGAGTGGCTCTAGGCACGTAGATGCCAGAGTGGGATAGGAGGCCCTCAGGTTGGAGCGAAGGGGTGTCTGGTTTGCCCCCGATCTTCCAGGGGTCCCAGCTCAGGCACCAGGTAGAGATGCATTTTTCAAATGACTCCAGGTCCCTGGTGTTCTGACTTTTTCCCTGTGTGGACCTGGCTTTGGTGCCCTGGGGTGGAGAGGTCAGGGTTCTGGGCAGGTTCCTCCGTGTCTGGCTCCACCCTGCCGGTCATCTCCTGCCCTGGCTGGTCCCACGCTTGGTTCCTGTTCCTCTTCCCTTCTTCCTGTTCCTCATCCTTCAGCCCCTTCTTCCCAGCTTGCACTCTTTCTCCTTGGGTGTTTGTAAGACACTTTGTTCCCAAAGAGACAGTCTGTGGCATATGCGCTTGTTTCAGCCTGAACCATTTCCATCACAATGCTTTTCAGAGCCCCACGTGCCCCTGGGCCCGGCCTGGAGGCACCCCTACTCCATCTGTCTCCTGGCAGTTACCAAACCAGATAGGCTGTGGCCTCCCTTTCAGGCTCCTGTCCCCATTCTGTCCCTGCAGCAGTGATAGACTTTTGGACCGGGAGCCTCACTGCCAGGCAGAGCTTCTCCAGTGAGTCCCCTGCTACCTCCTCCAGCCACTGTGTTTTGTGGCTGTGACTCTGACCTTGTGACCCTTCCCCAGTGGGAGGATTGCCCCACCAGAGCCAGGGCACCACGGAGGAGCAGCAATGCCAGCTCGGGGGTGGGGGGGCAGTGGCAGAGCTTACTGGTAACCTCCTGCGCCCCTATAAAGAAGAGAGTGGAGAAGAGTGGAAGGGAGGTGGCCAGCCCAGAGCGTGGAGACAGGACCCTCCCATCCCCACCGTACCATCAGGGGGCACCCGCAGAACCATGTGAAGCCGTCGGACACCCCCTCCAAGCCCTTTAGGAGTGTCATGGTGGCACCAGCTCAAGGGTGGGGTCCACCTTGGGGAAGAGGCCTCTTGAGCTGGTGGCAGGATGGGTGCATGTTTTCATGAGGTTCTAAAGCTGTAACTTTTCACAAAAAAAGAGCCAAAGGAAGTATGACTAGATAATAGTACTCCTTATATTTGGGGGAGTGGCTACTTGTGTGTTACTTTTTTTTCTCTGCATTTTGTGTGTGTGTGTGTGTGTGTGTGTGTGTTGTTTGAAAAAATACCCATAGCTAGAGGGATGGAGAAGCAAAGAAAAGAAAGCCCAAGAGCCCCGGACTGGGTGCCAGTGTTGGCCGGTGCTGCTCACCCCTGTCCCCCGCCCCCTTGTCCTGCAGCCGCCGCCGCCATGCCCACCTCGGTGCTGTGGGCAGTGGACCTGTTTGGGAGGGTGTACACGCTGTCCACGGCCGGGCAGTACTGGGAGCTCTGTAAGGACGTCCAGCTGGAGTTCAAGCGGGTCAGCGCCACCACTCAGTGCTGCTGGGGCATCGCCTGCGACAACCAGGTCTACGTGTATGTGTGCGCCAGCGACGTCCCCATCCGCCACCGCGAGGAGGCCTATGAGAACCAGGTGGGGCCACCTGGGTGTGGGGTGCTGCGTTGGTGGGTTTGCTGGGAGACAGACCCCCCTCTACCCCTGCCATTGCCCCGGTCTAGACCTTCATTCTGATTAAGATCTGAGTTGGGCGATGGCCTGGAGCCCTACGGTGTCTACACGGAGAGGCTGGCCAGGTCTATACAGGGTGGGTCCGGTGGCTTCCAGGAGCCCAGGACAGGGCCACACGGCCCACCGCCTGCCCTGTAGAGGACTGTGGCCAGCGGTGGGTTCTCTGCCCTTTGGGGCCCCGCTGATGGGATGGCTCATGGTGAAGAGGGGTGGGGTCGCTGACCCCTGAGTCCCAAGCAGGCCCTCCACTCCTTCCCACTGCAGACCCTGCCAGGCAGGGTCCTGTTGGCCCTGAGAGGCCCTGGCTGCCCAGCCCGGCTGCCCAGTCCAGCGGCCTGCTAAGGCCCATCTCTGCCTCCTGGCCCTCAGCGCTGGAACCCCGTGGGTGGCTTCTGTGAGAAGCTCCTGCCCAGTGACCGCTGGTCGTGGAGTGACGTGAGTGGGCTCCAGCACCGGCCGCTGGATGGGGTGGCACTGCCCTCACCGCACTGGGAGTGGGAGTCAGACTGGTACGTGGATGAGAATTTTGGAGGGGAACCCACCGAGAAAGGGGTAGGTGAACTGGCTTCCCACCGTGGTTCCTGGGGCGGGAGTGCCCTGGGCATGGCTGTCCCTGTGCTGGCCTGCGCTTTGCTCCCATTCGCTGCTCTTGCCCTGGGCCATGCTGCTGAGTCCCTGCTCCTTCCAGCCTGCTCCCCACTTTCCCCCTCCTCCAATCCCTTCTCCCGGAGCCTTATAGCACCCCCCTTGGTGTTTCAGGGGTGGACATATGCCATCGACTTTCCTGCTACCTACACGAGAGACCAGAAGTGGAATTCTTGTGTGCGCCGGCGGCGGTGGATCCGGTACAGGAGATACAAGTCCCGAGACACCTGGGCCAAGGTCTCCAAGCTGGCCTGTAGCCAGGGGGTGGGCAGGGCCGGACAGCAGTCCCGCTGCGAGGAAGGTCACGTGGACCCTCACACCCCTTCCCGCCTGGGCACCAGGAACACCGTGCCCACCCTGGGCCTGGCCTTTGAGCTGTTTCCTGTCCCAAGAACTCTTTGGCACTCCATGTCCCTTTGTTTGGAAGATGGCCGTGTGGGGTCTGGGCCAGGCTGAGGCCCAGGATGGCACAGAACTTGTCCAGGACTTAGTCTGCACTTCTTCCTGCCCACTCTTCCCTTGCCAGAGCCACTTTGGCTCTTGGACTGTTCTGTCCACCCCCAAAAGCTCCAGCTTCAGGACATAAGTCCAGGACTAGGGTACTCAACCGGGATCCTGCTTGACCTTGGATGAGAGGAAGACCACAGGCCCTTGCCAGACCTCTCTGGAAGGTCCCACTGTGAAGTTTGAGGTGGGGCTGCCAGCCCAACCCACTAGCCCTTTGGGCTAGTGCAGCCTAAGCTCCAAGCCTCTTTCTTTGGGGGGTTGAGGGGAAGATGGAGGGACGTAGAGTCACAGAGGCCGGGTCACTGCCAAGTGCACATCTGCCTTCCATGCTGGAGCAGCAGGGACCACTCAGAAACAGCAGCCCAGGTCTGGTGACTGGTAGAAAGGGGACTCAGAGCCAGAGGCCTGTCCTAATGCCGCCCAAGTGCCATGAGTCAGGCAGTTGTGGTCTGAGCTGGAGAATGACAGGCAGCAGGCCAAGGCTGGAGGGGGCGGCGCGGGTTCATGCTCAGCTGTCCACCAGGAGAGATGCGGTCCAGGTATTGGTCCAGGTCCCTTGGGTGCTGACCGTTCTGCCTCACACCTCATGTTTCAGATCCCTTCAAAAGATGACCCCAAGCATCTGCCGGATCCCTTCAATGACCTCTCTGTGGGAGGGTGGGAGGTCACAGACGAGCCTGTGGGCCGCCTGTCCGTGTGGGCCGTGTCTCTGCAGGGAAAGGTAAGGCCTGTGCCATGGATGGGAGGTGGTTGAGGGAGGAGGGCCACAGGCAGCGGCGGGCAGGGGAGAGGCTGGCTCTCAGGTGTGTTCCCAGAGTTGGCGAGAGCAGGAGGCTGACCTACTTTTCACCTCCCATCCCTGCAGAGACTTCCCTGTGCAGGTGGGACTTTACTGGGCTCCCATAGTCCCCCATCCTGCGGTTCCTGTCCTGTGAATCCCTTGGGGTCTGCTCCTCCCGGGAGCTCTGACCCCCCGCTTCGTGCCTGGTCCTGGCCTTTCGCCCCCTCTGAGTTCCCCAAACCCTGATAAGCACCCACAATGGGCTCAGATGCCACTGATGTTGTCTCTTCAGAGTCTGAGTTCTCTACCAGCTCCCTGTGTGCTGCCCACATAGCAGTCTCCGGTGGAGTTGTGTGTGAGAGAGAGGGATAGAGGCTGGCTGGCTGGCTGGATGGATGGATGGATGGATGGATGGATGGATGGATGGATGGAGGGTGGGTGAGTGCGTGGTGTGCAGGTGGATAGATAGATGGGCGGTGGTTAGAAAGGAGAGGCTATCCTCTCAGGGAGTCTGAACTAAGCAAAAGAATAACAACGCTGACAGCAGCATTGACCTACATGGCCCCAAGTGCAGGTGACCGAACACCTTCATCGTGGTTTTTGAGAGTTCTTGACATCTGTTCAGGACTCTGCCAGCTACAGCAGAATTTTTTTTTTAAAGATTTATTTTATTTGTGCATACAAGAGCTGGGGTACAGGCCAGAGGCGTGGGGGGTGAGAGGATTCACCAGAGACAGAGTGGGGAAGAGAACAGGCAGACTGACTAAAGTACACTGCTGAGGGGAGCAGTGGGCGAGTCAGGAGAGGTCTGCTGCGCCATGTGGGTAGCTCCCTGGCTGGCTGGGGGATCAAACTCGTGCTGCAGTGGCTGCGGACAGCTTCATAGGTTGCGCCTTAACCCCTTGCACCACCAGGGAGGCCCTACAGCAGAGTTTTCATTTGGCTTAGCTCTGGGTCCTCTTCGGCCCAGGCTTAGTTTAATTCACAGTTGTCCCTGAACCTTGCTGAAGGGTGATGGGCAGGACAGAGTCCCATCACCAGCCCCCCCGCCCCCCCGCCGCCCCTATGCAAGACCGGGCGTGCAGCCAGTGTGGTCACCAGCGCCCACTGAGCAGGTATGCCTGCACCTCTCCTGGGGTCCATGAAGGTGCGACCAGAACCAGGGCTCCATGAAGAGCTGGGACCACAGGTGGCCCCAGACCAGCAGGTGGCAGAAGGGAGGGTACCTGGACCTGACTGCAGTGCTGGTTTTAAGGGCAAGGTGGCAAGGTTGGCAGGGCTCAGGAGGGATTCCCCGGTTTCCCTGGACCACGCAGCCAGATGAAATGAGCCAGGCAGCCTAGATGATATGGGCAGTGGATCAGCCTTAAATATTTGATTATGCTCGTTTCCTCTGGTTAAGGAGGAAAAGAAGTGGGCATTTTAGACATTGTATCATGGGGGTTTGGGGTGTTCCCAGGGAACCACTCAGGACTCTGCTTCCCCTAGAGATGGGTGGCCTGAGAGCATGTGGCCACCAGGGGGCGCAAGACACCGGGTGAGAGCGTGTAGGGTGGAAGTCTGCCCAGCAGGTGAAAGGACCCAGTCTGTCCCCAAGAACAGTGGAAATCTGGGCGTTATGTTTGTTAGCAGTGGTGGGAAGTCCTCAATCTGGTATCAGTATCCTGTTGGCAGTGGGGCAGGGTGAGGGAGATCTGAACAGTCAGGGCACTCTGCTCCCCAGCACCTCTTGGACTCCACGCTAGGCATGTGTGGGTATGAATGCAAATACAGCCAAGTTTGGCAGCTGGCTCAGCCGTAGCGCCCTCTCCTGACCCCTCTGACCCTCCCTGTGGGTTTCTCTTGCCTCCCAGGTGTGGTACAGAGAGGATGTCAGCCACCCCAACCCTGAAGGCTCATCGTGGTCCCTCGTGGACACCCCAGGGGAGGTGGTCCAGATCAGCTGCGGGCCCCATGACCTCCTGTGGGCCACACTCTGGGAGGGGCAGGCCTTGGTCCGTGAAGGAGTCAGCAGGAACAATCCCAAAGGTGGGCAGCCCTACACCCCACACTGGGAGTGGTGGGGAGCTCCCAGCTTCTCCCTACACTGTTGCTGATGGGGGCTGCCTGCGCTTTCTTTGGGGGCCGGGTAGGAAGTTCCTGGTCCACAGTGGAGCCCCCCACATCTGAGAATGGAATCATGCATGTGTCTGCGGGAGTCGGCGTGGTCTGGGCTGTCACCAAGGACCGGAAAGTAAGACGGACTGGGCCCGGGGCTCTGTTGGGTGTTGAGGCTTGTGTGGTTTTGTGTTCTCCTGAGTGTGCTCAGTGTTCAGAAAAAAATTTGGCATCTGTCCAGCACTGCGCACGATTCTCTGGCTCACGTGGGTGGTCTCCAAGATGCCTGGTGCCTGCAAGATCCCCCCCTTGCCTACAACCTGTACCCAAGTGCAGAAAAACCGTCACGTCACGTAATAGGTGGTGCCCTTCAATCACCAGAGCTGACTTTCTGAAACCCAGTTAATCAAATGCCTCCACTTGCTCTGGCTTGGTGCTTGTCACTTTTAGGTCACAGAGGGAGATGAATAAAATGTGCTGATTTCAGGTTGTTTATTGGATCTCTTTCTAACCCCATGTCATGGCATCCCATGGCATGGTGGGGTTGGGAGGGAGGGCATATCACCCACGCTTCTGAGTCTGTTCCCAGTGCTGAGGGTTCCTGAGGCTCAGGCCACCCCCCGGCCTGAGAAAATAGAAATCTGACTGCCCCGCTCGTGCTCTCCAGAGACTGTGACATCGTGTTCAGATTAAGTGAGCAGAAAATTTGATTTACACGAGCATTTTGCCCAGTCTTCAAATATTTGATTATACAAACTTTCTTTAGGTTAAGGAGATATTTTACTCTTTTTAGAAATTTTAATGAAAGGGATATGGGGGGTTCTCATGTAGCCAGTCCCCTACCCTTGACCTGCCTCAGGAATTTCAGTCAAACAAGAGCACAGGATCCCCTATCGGGTCCAAGGGCTGCCAGGGCCTTGCCCAGGCCACCACCCAGCGTGGGCCAGCATGGGGCTGTGGGGGACGCAGCGGGGGGAGGGGGAAGTTGAGTGCGACCACCAGGTGAGCCTTAGAGCTTCGCTTAGGCTTGAGGACGTCCAGTTGGTTTGTGTGTATCTTTACAAGTTGGTGTGAAAAAGGGTAGATGTAGAGAGACTATTTTATAAAGCACTAAGATTAGGCCCAAAATATGCTACTTAATTTAATTATGAATTTAAAAAAATGTTTTTCTCAAATAGCACCATTCAGGCCGAGATGTTATATGGGGCAGATTTGACTGGGCATAATGGCCTTTTCCATATGTTCAGCCTGAGCTAAGTCGGGGATCACGCAGAAGTCCGTGGTGGGGGTTAGGCTCACAGGTCATCCTCTGGATTTAAGGTGCAGTATGTGTGCCCCAGCCCCACCTCCTGCCTCTCATTGTCTCAGTGAAACAGCTCATACCTGGTGCCACCAGTTCTGAGCTAGTAGAAAGTTCTAGAAAGAACCAGGTAGTCCATTCTCCTGGAGGGTATTCCTCTAAGCCTGAGAATGGGTGGGGAGCCACCATGGCCAGTGTGGCCAGGATAGGTGACCCTTAGCCCTGGGGACAGTGCCAAGCCTGAGGGAGATGCAGCAGGGGTGTGGGGAGGAGGGATGTGATGGGCCTTTTCAAATGATGCACCGTGTCTGTTTGTGCAGAACCAATAGGTCAAATCATTCATTTGTTCTTCCTGAGCCTTAAACAGCAACCCTTCTGTTTCAGTGGTCCTCCAGGGAGGATGTTTGTTTCTGACTTTCTCAGGTATGGTTCCGAAGAGGTGTCAACTCGCACAATCCCTGTGGCACCAGCTGGATCGAGATGGTCGGGGAAATGATGATGGTGAACGTAGGGCTGAACGACCAGGTGCGTCTGGTTCTGGGTCTTGGTTGCTGAGGCCCAGGGTGGTAACTCAGAAATAGTGGGGGTCTCAGAATGGGGCTCCTGATGTTCCCTGCTGCCCCATCTGTGTGGGCATGCTCACGATCCTGCCATGGGCATGGGGTCCCAGGGCCTCCACAGCTCCCAGCCTCGGAGGCCCCCCGCTGCTCCCAGGTTCCCCTCCCAAGGACCCTCAAGCAGTGACAGCGGCCCTCCAGGGCAGGGCACACATCCGGAGGCAGGCAGGGTTTTGCTGAGAAAGATATGGGTGAAATCAGATCTCCAACCTTCCCAGCTTTGAGATGCAGCCTCTCTCAGCTCCCCTGTGCAGTTCGTGCAGCATGTTCTCATACAAGGTGTGGTTTGGTGACTTAAGATTGAAGGCATGAGGGTGACACCTTCCCCCATCCTGTTGTCCTGAGCTCAAAGCTGTTCCTGGGGTTTCTGGCCTCCCCAGTGCCCCCACATCCTCCTCCCAACCCACATAGCTGGGAACTGAGCACAGAGGCCACCCCACCATGGCCAAGGGGTGGAGCTGCCAGTCCTGAATCTGTTCCCTGGCCCTCTCATGGGCCCTTCAGCTGCCCATCCAGCACCCAGGGGCAGACAGAGGGAGGCCTGACCACCACCTTTCCCATAAAAATTGAGATCAGAATCAAGGAGGCTATTGTACCCTCTGGGTTCACTTGGGGAGCAGCTTCCTGACTCCATGGGTCCTGGGGCATGGGTGGGCTCTGAATCTGGCACTGTACCTATCACCTGTAGACCCTGTCACTCCTAAGTCCCAGGTCTCCTGCAGTTGGAGAGCCAGGATAGGCTCCCTGCCTCTCCTGAGTTGGCTGCTGTGCCCCACCCTGCTCTGTGGGCGCCTCTTCCTTCATCTGCCTCCCACACCCACCTCACCTCCACGCCATCACCCTTCCCAGTGTCAGTGCGCACACATGCATGTGCCTCACTGCCTTTACGGGAAGCCTCCTGCGTGCGTTTACAGATGTGTCTTCCAGCCTTCCATGTTCTCCCTCATTTTTGTTTTACCCCCCCATTCCCAAAAGGGAAGGGAACCCCCAGGCCTCCCCCCCAGCAGTGCCTCTCTGTTCTAGGTCTGGGGCATCGGCTGCGAGGACCGGGCAGTGTACTTTCGTCAGGGCGTCACCCAGAGTGAGCTCAGTGGGAAGACCTGGAAAGCCATCGTGGCCAGCAGAGAGTCTGACCGCTCGCACTCTGGCAGCTCCTGCAGTCTCCTCAGGTGATCCTGGGGCCAGGGCAGAGAGGAGAAGGGGGCAATAGGCTGTCTGACCCCAGTGGGCAGTACTTCTGGGTGGGGTGCTGTTTACCCCAGGCAGAAGACCAGGTTCTGAAGCCCAAGAGCCACTGCCTATGGGTGTCCTGGCTCAGCCTGAGGGTGACACATGGGAGCAGCTTGGGAGAAGGGAGGTAGCAGGTGAGAAAGGTGGAGATTGTGTCCATGATGGGACTTGGGGTCTCCTTCAGAAGGGCTGGACTGCTGTTGTAAAGTCCCAAGGTCCGGGAGAGAGAATGCCTCTGCCTGGTAGACACCTAGGACCCCTATCAAAGGAAATTAGGGGAGATGGAGCCTCAGACTTGGGCATGCACCAGAATCACTGCAGGACTTGTTCCAGCACAGATTTACAGGCCCCTTCCCCTGAGTTTCTGACTCAGTAGTTGTGGGTGAGGGCCCGAGCTGTTGCAGGGTCCTGGGTGTGCTGCTGCTGCTGCTGCTACTGCTGCTGCTGCAGTCCTGTGGGCCAGGCCTTGAGGTCTGTGGGTCTAGAGGGTGCAACTCTGCCCACCAGCCTTTAGGGTACAGGCAGATGACTTAGCGTGCGAGCTGGAGACCCCTCTGCTCTTGGTGGGAGTACCCGCAGAGCTTGCTTACCCGGTCTCGTGGCACGTGGGGCCTTGGCACGGTGCTCCGTAGCCAACCACTTCCTGTCCATAGCTCAGGCTCTCCCTGGCCTTGGTCCAAGCCCCTCTGCTCCCCTGGCTTGGTGGTCAGCCCAGAGGGCCAGAGGGCCAGCCAGGCACAGTTTGCTCACAGTTACGCAGACCCTGTGACAGGCTCCTCACTGGTGGTTCTCAAAGTCGACAGCACATTGGAATCAGCTGAGAAGCTTCAAATACCACAGATATCAAGTCTTCATGAACTTGGGTTTGGCAATGGCTTAAGTAGAACACCCAGACTCCAAGCAACGAAAGGCAAAAATAGGCAAATTGGACTCATCAGTATTAAAACCTGTTGTGCATCAAAGAATACTATCACGAGAAGAGACTACCCGCAGAATGGAGGAAAAAATCTGCAAATCTTCTGTTGGGCAAGGCTGTCGTATCTAAATCACATAAAGACCGCTTGCAACTCAACAGAAAGCCAAACAGCCCAATTTTCAAAAGGGCAAAGGATCCGAGTAGACATTTCTCCCAAGGAGATAGACAGGTGGCCGACCAGCACACGAGGAGGTTCTAGCATCTGTCACAGGGAAAAGCAAGCCAGAACTGCAGCAGCGATTCTGCTCCACACCAACCAGGACCGCTGCAGCCAAACAGAAAGTGATGAATGCTGAGACGTGGGGATGCTGGAGCCTCACACTGCTGATAGGGGTGTAAAATGATGCAGCTGCGTGAAAAACAATCTGCTGGTTCAGGAAGTTAAACATTCCCACGTGACTCAGCAATTTCACTCCTAGCTATGCCCCAGGGAATTGAAAACGGTGTTCAAACTTTCAAAAACTTGTAACTGTTTATTGAAGCATTCTTCATAATCGCTGAAGGGTGGAAACGACGTAAATGAGTTATCCATGTCATGGAATATTATTCAGCCGTTAAAAGGGATAAAGTACCTACTGACAGGTGCCACAACTTTGCACGAACCCTAACATTACCCTAAGTGAAAGAAGCCAGTGGCAGAAGGTCGCATGTTACATGATGACCTAGAATAGACAGGTCCCTAGAGACAGAAAGCAAGTTAGTGGTTGCCAGGGGGCTGGGGGCAAAGAAGGGATGAAGAGTTGCTCTGCTCCTTAATGGGTACAGGGTTTCCACTTGGGGTAATGAGAAAGTTCCAGAACTAGGTAGCATGGCAGTGATGGTTGCACAGCATTGTGAGATGTGCTTGATGGCACTGCATTGCCTGATTTAAACGGTGTGTTTTACCACAATAAAAAGTTCTCCTGCCAGGTCTGGGCCCCCAGCGGCTTCCCATTCGGGCTCCCTGGGAAGCAGATATTTGCGTGTGTTGCACAAAGAGCTTGTGACTTGTCTGCGGCTGCGCAGCGAGCCATGGCCTGGGGGTCACCAGTCTGCCCCTGTCCCTTCTGTTCCAGTGCCGGCTGCTTCTTTGGTGATGAGGTGAGGGGCAGTGGCGAGTCCTGTGCACCAAGCGACACGGATGCCTCCTCAGACGCCGAGAGACCCGGGCCTGACCCGATTGTCCCCGCAGAGTCTTTGGACAGTGCCAGGCACCCCAGGGGCAGCACGGCCTCCTGCCCAGGCGGGACCACAGAGCATGCTGCAGAGGTCACCACAGGGCCAGAGTCACACCCTGGCCCACCCTCCACGCCGGCCGAGCTGCCCTGGACCAATATCGATCTGAAGGAGCCCAAGAAGGTGCCCAACCACTCGGCTGTCAGCTTCCCTGAGACCAGCAGCCTCTCCTCGGCAGGACTCCTCCCTCTGGGCTTGGAGGAGCCCTATGGCGCCGACGACCACCCACTGTGGGCCTGGGTGTCAGGAGGGGGCTGTACTGTGGAGGCCCATGCCGTGCTCAAGTGGTTCACCCTCCAGTCAGGTAAGGGTGGTGCTGGGGAATCCAGCATTCCATAGGGTGTTCCGGGGAAGGAGCTGAATCCTGGGAACCCCAGAGCACAGCCAGAGCCTTCAGGAGAAAGGCAGCATCTTGCCTGTCCAAAAATCAGTGGCCTGAACTGGGGGGGACATCAACCTCCCATCAGGGTAAATGGTGGGGGCAGACCCATGGGACATCTTATAGCAATGGCAGCTTTCATGCAGAAAGGACCTAGTGACTCAAAGAAAAAAGCCCTGGCCTGCCCTCCCCCCACCACCACTGTGCTCAGCCTTGACGCCTGGCCCTAAGGCTTTGGCTGCCCGCAGGCCTGTCCCCCTCGGTGCAGACACTGTCCCTGTCCATCACGCCGGCCCAGACTGCTGCCTGGCGGAAGCAGATCTTCCAGCAGCTCACGGAGAGGACCAAGCGGGAGCTGGAGAACTTCCGGCACTACGAGCAGGCCGTGGAGCAGGTGGGCGGCCCCCAGGCCCTTCTTTTCAGGAGGGCTTCGTAGTGCCTGCTGTCTACCAGCCCCAAGGTGAGGTGGAAGAAACAGACAGACAGAGGCATCTGTCCCTCTGTCTGTCCATCTAGGAGATGAAACCATCCCTGCCAGGCCCTTGGTAGATCAGGAGAAATAAGTACACTCATTTGCTCTTTATCCCTCAAGAACTCTGCTTGGTTCTGTTGTGGCCCTGGGGCCACAATGCCACAGCCATGAGGTGGGGGGTGCACAGGAGGGGGGTGGAACCACGTCATCCTCTGCCCATGTGCCTGTATGGTGTGCTGATTGAGACAAGCGGAGATAGGGTTGAGGGTGATCTCGGCCCCCTGTGCTGTTCCTGCAGCAGAGCCCAAACTCTGGAGGCCCACAGTCAGTTTTGGGGAAGGAAGTTACATTCAGGGACCTGACTATGTCTCAGCTTGTGGGGCAGGAACACCTTGCCCGGTCTACAAGTCAGGTCTCTGGCGACAAGCTGGGCTGGGTGACAGGCTGCACAAGCCAGGCTGGGCGTGGGGCCTACTTTGCCACTGATTTACTCTGTAACATCAGGCCAGGCCCAGAGCCACCCCAAGCCTCAGTTTCCCCATCCAGAGCAGTGAGTGCCAATCCCACTGGCTCTGGACCTGGCGCCATCGGGGCCCAAAAGCATCACTTTTGTTGGAAGGGTGATGTGGGGGAGCTGCCAGTGCCAGGCAGGAGTACTATGTGAGGCAGCAAAGGGATTGGGGACCATGGTGGCTCTGGGAACTTGGGGGCCTCCGGGACATGCTTATGACTGTTCCCACTGCCCTCTGGGCCTGTATTGCAGTCGGTGTGGGTGAAGACAGGGACCCTGCAGTGGTGGTGCGACTGGAAGCCCCACAAGTGGGTGGACGTCCGTGTGGCCCTGGAGCAGTACACGGGGCAGGACGGGGCTCGGGACAGCATCCTCTTCATCTACTACATGGTGCACGAGGAGAAGAAGGTGCGGCAGGAGGACCAGGGTCTGGAAGGTGGTTGGGGGGGCCTGCAGCTCAGTGGGGGTGGGGGCGTGCAGGAGCAGGCCTGCGACGCTGGCTGAGGTGTTCAGCCCAGGACTGGCATCCATGACACTCTGGTCTGTGGTACCCAGAGCCATCGGAGCCGGTGGGTGTGTGCCTGCCATGCCAGGCTCAAGGGTCCTCTCCCGTCCCCCTCCCAGAGGCTGCCAGGCTCTCCTTGTTCAGGTGGGAAGTCAGGCTCCGGACACAGGCACTCTCTTCCCGGGCCTTGAACCCAGTCTGATGCTAAGTGGTCTTGTCAGAGTTCCAGACGTCTCTAAAATGCAACTGAGGCCCATGAAGTAGGGCTTCCAGGCTGGGCCTCACGACCACCGCTAAGCCCTGTAGGCCTGGGACGCCCCAAAGGACTGGCTCCAGGGGGTCAGAAGTGACCCCGGCAGCCTGCTCTGTCCTTGGTGACGTCCCCCCCGCCCCCACTCCTCCCAACAGTACATTCACGTGTTCCTCAATGAGGTGACTGTGCTGGTCCCCGTGCTCAACGAGTCCAAGCACTCCTTTGCTCTGTACACCCCCGAGAGGACTCGGCAGAGGTGGCCCGTGCGCCTGGCCGCCCACACTGAGCAGGACATGAACGACTGGGTGAGTGGGTGCTGCACCCAGACTGGGAGTCAAGGGGCAGCCTGGCTTTGGCCCATGGCCCCGCCTTCCCAGCACTGACCAGCCGTCTCCCGCTCCAGCTGGCCCTGCTCAACCTGGCCTGCTGTGAGAGCCGTAGGGTCCACGGCCGCCCCTCCCCACAGGCCATCTGGTCCATCACCTGCAAGGGGGACATCTTCGTGAGCGAGCCCAGCCCGGACCTGGAGCTCCCCGAGCACCCGCTGCCCTGTGACCAGATGTGAGTGGGCTATGTGGGTGGGGCTGCGGCCTGGCCCCCCACCCTGAGCGGTGGTCCCCACTGGAAGGGACGCACACAGGGCCTCACTCCCTTTGGCCAGAGTCACGGATGACTGGCTAGGTCCCAGGTTTCTGTCCTCCTGGGCCTGTGTGAGGACCCCAAGGGGAGACAGGAGCCCGACTGGGCTCAGTTGCTGTGCACGGGGCAGTGGGGAGGGTGGTTCTACAGGTGGTGTTTAAAACCATCCACTGGGTCACCAGGGCCAGTGAGCACCAGGTAAATGTGTGTCCACGCTCTGCCCCTGGTCAGACAAGTCACACCACTGGTGACAATGGCAAGGCCTCAGTCAGGAGAGAGGCCCAGGAAGCAGCTACATTTGCCCTTTGCCACCCAGAAAGCCTCGCTGCACCACTGGCCTATGGCTGCGCCTCTCAGCCTACTGCTGGCCCGTGTGTGGCTCATCCAGCGGATGAGACGTGACGTGCCATCCTGACCCCTAGGAACTACGGTGGAGCTTAGGCTGTTGACTTTGCTGACACCCCCCACCCACCCACCTGCATAGCTTTGGGGATTAGGAGGGTGGGCTCCTGAAGCCCCCTGCATGCTGGGTGACCTGACCCCATCTACCCTGCTGGCTGCAGACACCCTGAGCTCGGGGCTGCTAGGCTTTAGCTCTAGTTAGTAGCCAGTGGAAGCCAAGGAGGTTGCATGTCCTGGATACAGTGTGTGCATGTGGAGATCAAAGACAGTAAAATAGGATGCCCTCGGGATGCCAGAGGAAAAACAGGCAGCAGGTTGGAAGTCTGCTTAGACAAGTTTCTCGCACCTTCTCTCTCCGTCCTCCCAGGTTCTGGCGGCAGATGGGAGGCCACCTGAGGGTGGTAGAGGCCAATGGCCGGGGCGTGGTGTGGGGCATCGGCTATGACCGCACAGCCTGGGTGTACACAGGTGGCTACGGAGGAGGCTGCTTCCAAGGTGAGGGCACCTACCACCGTAGCTGGCAGGACCGGCTCCCCTGAGCTCTGCCCACACCCTCCAGGCCGTTCCCTCCTCTAATCCCCGACTGGCTTTCCTGGCCAATGCTGGAGCCACTTGGTTGACAGCTGGCTGACAGCTGACCTTCATCACTGCCAGCATCACAGAAGATGGGGTCAGAGCCAATCCATGAGGCGTGAGACCCGGAGACCTGGCCTTGTCCCCAGCATGCCTTCCCACAAACCCACAGCTGACTCACGGGCCTTGAAGGGTCCAGAAAGGCAGGTGCCGGGGCCCACCAGCCCCTTGTTTCATAAATGAGACTTCAGGGCATGTTGGGGCAGCCCCAGGAACCCAGTCTCCGATTCCCAGACCCGAATTCCAGTCCCTCTGTAGGTAACCCAGGCTTTAGGGGATGAGAACTTCCTGAGCCCTACGGGCTACCCAAGCTCTGGGAGACAGGTAACCAAGGGAAATGGAGGCAGAAACCAGACATTCAGTGCCAAGGCCCCCATGACCCCAGTGAGGGGCAGAGGGGCCTATAGGACTATCCCTGAGCCCACAGGAGGGCTCATCTGCACAGGCTGAGCGGCTTCCCCTTCTATGAGGTCGGAATCACCTTTGTCTTCATTTTACAAATGAGGAGATTGGGGCTCATAGAATGTATGTGAGTGTTAATAAGGTGTGAGTTGGGTGGGCCTCACTTCTGCCTGGTGCCAGGTAAAGGTGGCAGGAGGGGCAAGAGGTGCAGCTGAAGACAGAGTATAAGGTGAGGGAGCCAGAGGTGGTGCAGACAGGAGATTAGCGGCAGCAGGTTCTTCTCACCCAGTTTGTGCAACCCCAGAATAGTCATAGGAGAGAGGCCCAGGTGGGGTTAACACCCCAGAGACAAGCTCAGCCGTCCCGGGCATCCTTCCCATGGTCCCCGGCCCGCCCTCCGTGCCCATTCTCTGCCCGAGCTCCAGCGGCCTCCTCCCCCAGGCCTGGCCAGCAGCACCAGCAACATCTACACACAGTCGGACGTGAAGAGCGTCTACATCTATGAGAACCAGCGCTGGAATCCGGTCACAGGCTACACCAGCAGGTGCGTGAGTGGTCGGGCCCACAGCGGGGGTGCTGCCCCCCGAGTGAGAGTCGGCACCAGACATGGGGCTGCCTGCATCTCAGCGCTCACGGGCGTTTCTTAGCGAATCTAAGAGGAACCCACGTTGTCAGGCTCACCCGTTGAGAGGTGCACGTAACGTACGTGATCACGTAGCACACACATGTACACACGCCTCAAACACCCAGAACTAGAACCTTGCCCCCCCACCCATCTCCTCTGCGCCCCTTCTCTTTCCTTTGCTACACCCCCTGCCCCCTCGAGAGCCCAGTTCCTATTTTGTCACTAAAGAGATTTTTGTAGGATGGCGGCAGGGGATGGTGGTCACTTTGTTTTCTTAAGTTTTGCCTACTCGAGGCAACTGAGAACATCATAGGCTCCACCAAGATTATTTTAAAACCCTAAATGTGAGACTTTGGGGCAAGATGGTTGCTCTGACACTTGGGGCAAGAAGGGGGTGCTGTATATAATTCTAGGTTATATGTATTTTTTTTCCCCTGCCCACTCAGCCAGAAATATGTTTCTCATTGCTCTTGTCCCTGTGTTTGGTTTAAGAAAGTCAACAAGTTGTATTTCTTAGCATTTTAAAACCGGAGTCCTCACACTAGCCTTTGGGAACCTCGTGCTGATCCCCGGCCGTGCTGTCCCTTTATGAAGATTTCAGCGCTGCTGGAACAAACCCATTCGTCTCCTCTTCAGCATGTCTTGGCCATCCTGGGATCATTTCTAGATCCATTTTCAAAGCAGCCGGTCACAGTCTTCCAAAGCCATCTTGGTTGGGTGGCCTTGGGTCTTGAGTTTTGGTAGGAAAGTTACCTCACAGTTGTAAGTCTCTATATAACCTGGATATAGTTTAAACCTTCCTTCATGCTGCCTTCTTCAATTTTTCTTAGTAAGGTCTTGTCATTTTCTAAGAGTCTTGACATCCTCTATTAGGTAGTATTTCGTGGTTTTTTTAATGCCATTGTAAATGGCACATTTGAACCTTTTAATTTCTTTTTTTTTATTTTTTAAAGATTAATTTTTTAATGTATACAAGAACTGGGGTACAGGCCAGAGGTGTGGGGGGTGAGAGGATTCACCAGAGACAGAGTGGGGAGCAGAACAGGCAGATTGACTGAAATACACTGCTGAGGGGAGCAACGGGTGAGTCAGGAGAGGTCTGCTTGCCATGTGGGTTGTTCCCTGGCCAGGGATCGAACTCATGCTGTAGTGGCTGTGGATAGCTGCATAACCCCTTGCACCACTAGGGAGGCCCTAATTTCATTTTTAAATTTTGCAGCTTTCTAGAGAAATGTAGTTGAGTTTCTTCTTTTGTAAAATTGGCGGAAAGAAGAAACACCAAATGATATGTCGAGCAAACCCAACAACAGCTGAGTCCTGCCACCCAAAGCTGGTCCCTAACTGTGAGCGCGTGGCCTCACCTGCCCATCCTTGTGTGCACACGCCTGCCATGCCAGGGACACGAGATCAGGCCTGTAATGTGGCCTGTGACTGCTCCCGGCTCACTGCTAGAGGCTGGACCCCCACTTATCTGAGCTTGCTCGGTGTTGGAGGAGATTGTTTGTGATCTTTTACTGTTAGATGAACAGTTTACAGGACTCCCTGTGTGGAATATCTGAGTATTCTCTCCAAGCCAGTGTACCAGGGCCTGAGCTTTCCTAAGGTGCTTGTCACCCGTCATCAAATTATGTTCCCCCAGAACCTCCCCACTGACTGTGTGTGGTGTCCACAGGGAACACCCACTTGCTTGCACCCCCACTTCCTCCTTGGTCCTCAGGAGATGGGCCACGTGCTTGACACAGAGGGGGCAAGCCCTGACCCTCAGCCTCAGGCCACCCACCCTGGACCACCCCTGCTGCCAGGGCTCCCTGAGGGGTCTGCTCAGCCCTGTGACAAAACCCCACACACCCCAGATGTTTACTCCCGTAGTTCTAGGGGTTGGGGACCTGAGTTCACAACAGGGTTGGTTCCTCCTGAGAAAGAGTCTGTTGCCACTCTCTCTTGGCTTCGGTGGCTTCTGCCAGCTTCGGGTCCCCTTGGTGTGTGGCATCCTCACTCTGTCCTCACACACCTACCTGATGATGTCGTCTTTACTCAATCATCTCGAAGACCCTGCTTCCCAGTGCTGGAGATTAGGGCCTTAGCACAGCCAGCCACACGAGGGCAGGGAGGCAGGCCCCAGAGCACACAGCATGCCACGGCCCTCCGGGGCAAGTGGTCTGCATGTGTCTGTTTGGAGGTGGCTTACTCTGGGCCTTGAGGCCAAAGCTGTGCTTCAGGACAGCAGGGACAGGTTTCCAGCCTGTCACCAGCGGTGCTTGGGCGGACAGACCCGTTCTCACCTCTCTGAGTGACCCCTGTTGTCCTGTGCAGGGGTCTGCCCACCGACCGCTACATGTGGAGCGATGCCTCAGGGCTGCAGGAGTGCACCAAAGCCAGCACAAAGCCTCCATCCCTGCAGTGGGCCTGGGTGAGCGCCTGCTGCCCTTGGGGGTGGGGAAGGGGTGGGGATTCACCACACTGATCCGCCCTTCCCTCAGATTTCTGACTGGTCCGTAGACTTCAGCGTTCCTGGGGGCACTGACCAGGAGGGGTGGCAGTACGCCAGCGACTTCCCCGCGTAAGCATCTTGTCTCGACATGGGGGGCCATAGGGCTGAGGTCTGAGTGTTAAGCCTGGTGTACAGCCCGCGGCCCTGTCTTCTCTGGAGGTGGGGGCCTCACCTCTCTGCCAGGCAGAGCCCCTGCCTGCCCCTTCCACCCTCCTCCCGCCATAGCCCCGACCCCACAAGTGCCCCAATGAGCAGACCCTTGCCTACCCACCCCTCCTGCCAGCAGGGTTGGGACCCAGCCAGAGAGGTGCACAGGGGCCCAGGTGAGCTGGAGCCCGTGCAGGCCATGTACCTGGCCTTGGTGAATAGGCTCAGGGCTGAGCATCACGGCTCCCTCTGCATGAGGCTGTGCTGAGCATGGGTTCCAAAAGGGCCAGGGACCCAGCGGCCTGTGCTGAGGCGCTTAAGCAGGGGCAGCTTGGAGGAGCTTTGGGGCAGGCCTTGGCTGAGGGGTAAAGAGGCAACTTGAGCACTGCATGGAGTGAGGCCCCGTAAGGTGGGAGGGGAGTATCGAGAGTGGGTGATAAAAGAAATGGGTGACAGACCTGCAAAGCTGTGAGGTCCTGGTGGGGCAAGAGGTGTCTGAAGGCTGAGGACCATGTTCTGTGATAGTTGCAGCCCCTTCAAGCCCTCTCCCGGCTCGCACGGAAGCTCTGTGCCCCATGATGGGTAGGAAAGAGTGTGTATGTACAGCATCACCGTCCAGAAACTTCCATGAAGTCTTGATTTCAGCTTCTTCCTCTTGCAGCTCATACCACGGGTACAAAACCATGAAGGATTTTGTCAGGAGAAGATGCTGGGCCAGGTAAAAAGTGAGCCACCAGGGCCTGGGGTGGGTGCCGGCCTCTGCTGCTGCCCCAAGTTCTCCAGCTCCTCTGGCCACAGAGCTCAGGGGAGGGAGAGGTGGGCGGGAAAACCAGAATCAAAGTAAATGTCAGCCCAGGAAATGCCCGCGGGCTCCCAACGCTCTCCAGTTTCTGAAGAGTTTGTTTTCTAGAACAAATAAGAGAAATGTCATAGACAGGCCCTGCTTGTGAGCAGGAACCAGGACCAGGCCGGCAGGGCCGAGCAGGCGAGAGTGAGGCCGCCTATGCAGGCCCTTTTTCACACCCAAAGAGAGGTGTGCCCACTTGGGTACTTTGGGGGCCCTGGCTCCAGTCCCCCCATGACCTGGTTATTCCCTCTGCTGCCTCCCACATGTCTACCGCAGGCAACCCCTGGGGCTCCAGTAACACTGGGGCCCCCGGGGTTTGTTCTCTGTCCCCCATACAGAAAATGCAAGCTGGTGACCAGCGGACCCTGGCTGGAGGTTGCCCCTGTTGCCCTCGGGGATGTGTCCATCATCCCAGAGAGCCTAGGCGCCCACAGGAATGGGCATAGCATTGCCCTCTGGGCCATCAGTGACAAGGGAGATGTGCTGTGCCGTCTGGGGGTGTCCCAGCTGAACCCTGCAGTGAGTACCCTTTCCCTACTGTGGGCACCATCATCCTGCCCACCCTGGCAGCCCTCAGGCCCTCCTGGGGTTCTGGCAGATTCTTCCAGAAATCAAACACTTGCTGGGGAACAGGCTGGGCTGAGACTTTCCCAGCATGGCCCTGCATGTGGCCCAAGTGGGTCACTGGGCTCGGTGGGCACTAGAGCTGAGCACGAGGTTGGCGTGAGGGGCCTGCCTGGGCCCGGGGGTCGAGGGAGAACAGCCCTCAGCGTCTCTCCTCGCTTGTCTCCAGGGCTCCTCCTGGCTGCACGTGGGCACTGACCAGCCCTTCACCTCCATCTGCATTGGGGCTTGCTACCAGGTGTGGGCCATAGCGAGAGATGGCTCCGCTTTCTACCGGGGCTCCGTGTCCCCCTCCCAGCCCGCCGGTGAGTGCCGCCCCTTAGAACCTCCCCCCAACCCCCTGGGCCAGCTGTGTGGGGCCAGACCGGGGTTGCCCTGCTTCCTTGGGGGAAGCTGGTTGACAGGGCTCCTCGATCTCAGAGCAGCTTGACAGCCATTTACTGAACCCTGTTTGTGGGCCAGGCACTGGGGCCCAGTCAGGATCCCCCCCAGAGGCCATGTTCCCTCCAGCTGGGACTGACTGGGGTGGCCGCCCGGCAAGGGGGTGGCCCCTCGCAGCTGCCCTGCCCAGGGTGTTCTGGTGGTGGGTGCTTTGCACTTGTGGCCCTCAGAGGCCAAGCCTATGGGTCCTCTGTTCCAGGGCAGCTCCTCCTGGGGAGACCCCATACTGCCCACTCCTCAGCGTCCAGCCTGGCTGCCTGGGCTGTGCTGGCTTGTGCTCCCCTGGACGGCTAGACAGTGGCCAACATGGGGGAGGCTGGCACAGGGATGGGCTGGCAGACGGTGGTAGCTGGCATGTCGCCGTCCCCCTCTGGGCTCCCACAGCTGGCCCCCACCACACCCGGCTGGGCTCATCCCGTCCCTGTTCGCAAGATCCACCCATCCAGCTGCACAGTGTGGGCAAGGCTGGGGGGCTGGGGAACAGCAGGGCCCGGGTCAGCTCCACTTGACCTCAGCTCACACACATGACGAGCCCCCACACATGGGCGGGGCAGCAGGCCCCAGGGCTGGGCCAGCTACACCCCAACCCTGTGAGCGGCAGCGGAGCCTCAGCCAAGGCCCCTCTCCTGTTGCAGGCGACTGCTGGTACCACATCCCATCTCCCCCAAAACAGAAGCTAAAGCAGGTGTCTGTGGGGCAGACGTCCGTGTACGCCTTGGATGAAAATGGCAAGTGGCCACCAGAGGAGGTTTGGGGGTCCCTGCGCCCCCTGATGGGTGGGATAAGACCTTCCCCTGTCCCAGGTCCCTAATGGTGATCCTTTGTTAGTTACCATGACATGCCGCCTAGCCCAAGGTCAGCTCTGAACTGGTCCCTCTTCCAAGATACAGGGGAAGGGGGCTGCTCTGGGAGCGCCTTCTAGCAGGTGCCACCCAGGCCTGAGCCAGAGTCCCCAAGAAGTTGGAGCTGACAGAGACAACCGCTCACTCCAGCCACCCCTGCCCCTTGTGCCACCTCAGGTGGGGCCCCCTGGTCTTCAGTCGTCGTTTTCACAGATGAGCAAAGCCAGGCAAGGCATGGGGACTAAGATCCAGGGCTTTACTCCAGACCCCGCGCTCTATTTGTTTAAAGAATTCCTTGTCCTCAGGTTCTCATGCATAGAAAGAGAACGAGGCTGCCAGCCCCACCCGGTGGACAGCCGTGCGGCTTGGGGGCCCGGGGCGAGGGGCAGAGGCGGCTCTGCTGTGGATCTGCCCAGGAAGTGGGGGCACAGGGGGAGACTCTGCGTCTCTGGGGGGGGGGGTCCCGTGCCTGCGTCTCATGTCGGGTGCCCTTCTCTCCCCAGGGAACCTGTGGTACCGCCAGGGGGTCACGCCCAGCTACCCGCAGGGCTCCAGCTGGGAGCACGTGTCCAACAACGTGCGCCACGTATCCGTGGGGCCCCTGGACCAGGTCTGGGGGGTGGGAGGATAAGGGAATGGAAGGTTCGGGGACCCATGAGCCCTGGGTTCCGGCTCTGGTCTCCCCGCCGCGGCCCCCACGGTCCCACCAGTCCAAGCCCGGGCTCCAGCAGGTCTGCCTTCCAGGTCTGGGTCATCGCTAACAAAGTCCAGGGCAGCCACAGCCTGAGCCGGGGAACCGTGTGCCATCGCACAGGCGTGCAGCCCCACGAGCCCAAGGGGCAGGCCTGGGACTACGGCATTGGGGTGAGCAGGACAGGCCAGAGGGGGCCTGCTGGGCCTGTGAGGGCATCCTCCTCCGTGTGCTCAGGCCCTGCAGGCAGTGCTACCTGGGATGTGGCCTCGAGGTTGGTGGGAGGCCCCAGGTACGGCCCCGGGGAGGGGTGGGGGATCCTCTGGAAACATGGTCTTTACTCCCCGCCCCTGCCCCCCTGGGTGACACAGTCGTCTCCTTCCAGGGAGGCTGGGATCACATCTCCGTCAGGGCCAATGCCACCAGAGCCCCCAGGGGTGCATTCCAGGAGACAGCCGGAGAGCAGAGTGGGGAGCAGAACCTCCCCAGTGGACCAGCAAAGGTGGCCGGTGCCCCGCAGGAGACCCTAGATCCCGTCCGCTGCTGAGGCCACCTCCTGTCACCTGGAAGCAGGTGTGGCCGGAGTGAAGGACCAAGTGTGAAGGGTCACGTAGCGAGCCCCCCTCCGCAGATACGCGCCTCCTGGGAGAGGCGGCTGGACCGAGACTCAGGCAGGAACCTGGCCAGAGGCCGCGCACCTCAGGGGCACTGGTTGGAACAGCCCAGAAATGTGAAGCTCTGTGGACTTCGAGGAGGTCCGCGACGGCGTGGGGGGGGCCCCTTCACCCCAGCCTTGCCCTTCCCTCTCTGCCTCCCGCCTTTCCAGGACGGGGACCCGGGTACTGGAACCTCCCAGGAATGGCGCCCCCAGGGGAACAGCACCCAAGAGGCAGCTCCCCGATCCCCGGGTGTCTCCAGACAGCTCCCCAGGAGGAAGGAGCCGCAGGGCCCGGGTCCACTCTGACCTTGGATGGTTTCTCAGAGGACTTGCCGCCGGGGCTTATTTTCAGCCGTGCAGGAAGGAGCTGGCAGCTTAGAAATAGGTACCGCGGGGGGCGGGCAGTTTCTTCCCGCAGCGGCCGAGCCCCCGGGGGTCAGCAGAGGGCCCAGGCGGGCAGTGCCGCCCAAGCGCCGTCGCTGCCCTCTCGTCGGCCCTCGCCCGGTGCGTTCCTCGTGGTCTTCGTGCAGGAGGCGCGGCGGGGTGGGGGCCCGCGGAGCCCTGTCGGGTCAGACCCTGGGGTGAAACCCCTGCCCGGCACAGCGCGTCCCGCACCGCCAACTCCCTCCTGCGGCCTCTCTGGCGGGTGGCCCTCCTGGCCGAAGTCCGCGGTTTGCTTGCTGCAGCCAGCCGCTCTGCCCGGCGGCCCCGCGCCCGGGCCTCGCTGGCTCTCTGAGACTCGGCCAGCTTTCCTGCCCCCCATCCGGGTGCGGGTAGGGCGTCTGCAGCTCCACTCTGGGCGTTTGTCGCCCCGAAGCTGACCCTACGGTGGGCTCCTTGGGGGGTCCCCTCCCAAAGGGCATGGAGGGAGCGTTTTCCGGAGCGGGAACCAGGAGGCATGTGGTCTGCAGAGCCCAGACGAGCCCCGGGGAGGCCGTGAGCTGGCACTCCGTGTTCACATCTCAGCAGGTCCCCGAACGGGCCTGGGGTGTCCCAGGGCGGGGTGGGGGGTGCCTTGTGGCTCCACTGACTTGCCGTCTGTGGCTGGCTCACCCCGCCTTTCTCAGGGCCACCCTGCCCTCTCGCCGCTGAGCACCCACTGTTTATTTGCTCAGCATCACCCGACCGTCTCAATCTGTCAGATGCTTTACTCAATAAACGTTGACGCGGGAGTGTGGCGGCGGGACACCTGTTATTGCTACATGGCGATTAGATGCGCACTTCCCCGGGCGCTCGGGCATGGGGCAAAAGTAGCAATTCCAGTGGAATCTTTTATTTTTATTTTATGACAGCATCAGTTTCATTAGTACTTTGAAGGGGCCATTAGGAGACATACAAGCCAATTTGGGCCACTTAAGGAACATTTTCACCGCAATTACGGCTGGAGCACTGGCCGTGCAGTTCCAGGGCAGCTTCCCGCGGAAAGCGGCAGGTCTGGTTTCTCTGCTTGCGTGGCGGGCTCTCCACCCCCTGCTCACTCAGTCCGGTGCCAGGCGGGCCCCAGTCCTGCCGCAGGCCAGGCGGCCAGGGCTTGGCGTGTGGACCTCACCACTTGTGTGGTGCCCTTAGCAAGGGCAGGGTCTCCTGGGACCAAAGAGTCCCGCCTCAGCTTGGGGGTGCTGAGAGTGGTGGGAGCCAACCAGGGTGTCGCCAAGCCTGTCCTCTCACCTCCCTGCTCCCTGAGGTGGGACAGAAACCTTGACGGATCCTTTATGATGTGGCCACAGGGGCAGGCAGGTGCCCTGCAGCCACTAGTGAAGGACTGGGCATCTGGACAGCGGCCACCTTCTGGGAAGCAGGGAAGAGACAGGTGCCAGATGGGGACATAGAGAGCCATTGTCCCTAAGGTGTTGATGCCCAGCCCCTCCTGCCCCCCGACAGCCCGTGGCCAGTCCCTGGGCACAGTCTGGACAGAGCCTCTACTGGCCAAACCTCCCCGAGCTCCAGTTCTGTCAGTTCATTCAGCAAGATCAGAGACGCACCGTGTCCTGCTCCGGTCTCAGCTCAACCAGACAACAGCACCAGGCTTGGAGGCCTCAACCTCTGGTGTTCCAACCTGGCAGGTCACCCAAGTAGGGGGTGCCTGGACCCCATCTTTCCTGTGGTCAACGTTGCCTCAGTCATAGTTCCATTGGAGGGTTACCCTAACCACTGACCTTCCAGAGCGACCAGCCCTGAGGGCAGGCCAGGAGGGCCTGGGGTCCCCAGGGGAAAGGACAGCAGGGGCGGTGGGACAGGGACAGACCAGCCTCCTGGAGCGGTCCATAGTGCCCCGAAGGGACCTGGCCCTAAGGGCTAGCTCAGGCACGGCTGTGGGCTAGCGGCGCTGGCCCGGCTCACTCCCCCATGTCTGGGGATTCTCTTGCCGGAGGCTGCCAGGGCCCTGTCCCTCCCCATATTGGCTGTGGGCAGAAGGATGAGGGCGGGGAGGTGCCAAGGCAGTGAGAGAAAGTCGCCAAGCCTGTCGGAGCCAGCAGGGCAGGAACATGAACAGAAGGAAGCTTGGCCTGAGGCGGCAGGGACCTGCCAAGCTGTCCAGTGTTCGCCTTTAAAGAGCAGCACCCAGGCGGGGGAGGGGAGCGCCTGCCACCCCCAGGTTCCTTTTTGCAGAGAGCCCTGCAGGGCTCCCCAAATCCAGCCAGGATGCAAGAACATCCTGAGGTCCTCTCACATCGCCGCTGTCAGTGATATGACCGTCCATGACCGTGAACGGTGAACCTGGATGGGACCCAGGGGAGACCTGGCACAACTCTCTCCCTGGGTCTCTCTTGGGAACTAGGCCCTTGAAGCCCTCACCCCAAGGGGCCCAGAAGATCAGCACCCTGTCTCCAGCCCCCTCAGCACCAGGCTGTCGACCCTGGCACCCTACTCCGGCCCTGCTAGTCAAGAGGGAGGAAGGAGCCTGCCCCTTTCCTTTAAAATCAACTCGAGGTCATATGATCAGGGTTTCTATCAGCCAGTTACTGAACTAGACGCTTCAACTATCTCAGCTGGTCACGTTCCTCGCATGGCCGTGGGCTTTGCTTGCTCCGTGCCTCAGTTTACCCTGAATGAGGAGGCTGAGTCTGGCCCCATCTAATCCTACCATGCAGATTGAAGGAGGGCCCTCCCAGGGCCTTGGGGAAACTTACCAAAGTAAACCTTTTCCCACACGCTCTCCCGGCCCAGAGGAGTCAGGGTGGAGAGCACAGTTACAAAAGTGAAGGCCTGAAAGCCGCCTGGTTAGATCAAAAGCCAGGGCCTGGGACCCACATGGAGGCTGGGGCCTCCCGCTGCTCAGAGAGCCACGGCCTCAGCCTGCCCACTGGTTCCCGGGACCAGGCTGTGCTCCAGGGTGGCAGCCAAATTGGAAAATGGAGCCACTCGGGCCAAGTCCACGTGGGGCAGGAGGAGCAGGCCGGACTGCTGACCCCCAAACCTGAGCGCTAGGAGCCCTCGCGGAAGCTGTGGATCTGCGTGGAGTACCTCTGCAGGTGGCCCTCGGGCTGGGCCTCCGTGGCACCGAGCGTGCCCCCAGCTGCCTGCTGCTGCTGGTAGTGCTGGTAGAGCTTGGGGCCGGGCCCGTCCAGGCCTGGGAGGTGGCTGCTGGACATGGTCAGGATGGTGGCGGTCAGCGACTTGATGTAGTTTTTGGCCAGAGTGAGTGTCTCGATCTTGGAGAGCTTCTTGTCGGCCCGAACGTGGGGGATGACCTCCCGTAGTGCCTGGAAGGCGTTGTTGAGCTTGTGCATGCGCTGCCGCTCCCTCTCGTTGCTCTCCAGCCGACGCTGGACACTGCTCTCCCGGCGGCCACCTGACCCCGAGGACCCCGGTCTCCTGCGTCCGCCCTCGGCCCGGAGCCCCGGCGCCCGCGCTGCCCTGCTCCGCAGACCCTTGGTCAGCTCCAGCTCGGAGCCCTGCTGGGGTCTCTCTGGGGTCCGCTCCTGTGGGCTGGTCTCTGTGTCCTGTGGTGGCGCCCGGCGCCTGGAGGGTCGGTTCTTGGTCTTCATAACTCCGAACTGGTTGTCTCACCGGGTGGCGGCTCTGAGGGGGGGCTTGGAGCTGAAATCCAGAACACGGGTCACCCTGTGGTCAGCTGGCAGTGACACTTAGTGGACACTCAGGGCAGCTGCGGGATGGCAGCTGACCTCTTGGTGCACAGTGACCCCAGGGTCCTTCCTATCACCACGGGAGCTCTGAGTTGACCCCCTAAGATCCAGTTCCCCTTTATGGCTTCAGGCTGACCCCTCAGATCCTCGCCTTATCCGTGGCTCCTTTCCCCTTGGGTGACACAACTGGACCTTTCTCTGGCCCTAGCTCGTCACTGCCCCCCACCCCCACCATGTGCCTCCTGAGCCCAAGTGACCATCAGACATGGCTCAGACCACCCAGAGAAGCAGCCTGACTCTAGCTTAGGGCAGCTCTTCCGCCCGAGGCGTGCGGCCTCCTGCTTGCCCCAGTGGACAGGCAGCTCCGGCCACCACACTCACCGCCCTGCCCTGCCCTGCCGCAAGGTCCACATGCAGGGACAACATTGAGGCCAAACCTCTGTGGACAGGGGCAGTGGTCAAAGGTCAGAGATCAACAATGACCAGCCTGCAGGGGCCCCAGTCCCTCCGTGTGCATGATTCCCCCCTCCAGGACCCACTGCCCCCCCCCGTCCCAGTTACCTGGGGATCCGCGGCTGCACGCGCCCAGCTGCCCACGGGGGACAAGGACACGTCGCTTTAGCCGCCCCGGGCGGGGCCGCGGCCGCATGTAAATGAGCTGGCGGGGCGGGGCCGGGGCGGGGCCGGTGTCCGCGTGTCTCCCGCCCAGGCGTGGAGGGAGGGGGCGTGGAGGGGGGCGGTGGCGCACCTGGGGGAGCCGGCCGGGCCGCCCCGACTGGCCGGCCTCCGGGGCTGCGGAGCCCACGCCGCACCCTGGGAGAGTGTAGACTCTGGGCGCCCACCGGGCGGCGGGGACGTCCCGGGGCCGCACCTGGCCGCCCACTTGGCCTCGGGGTTCAGGCCCATAGTGCCGCCGATCAAGTCGGAGGAATTCGCGGAAAAGCCGTTTTGCCATAATGCTGGTTTCTGAAAGGGCAGCAACCACATCCTTGAAGAGCTCGGCCCAGGTACCCCGCGCCCTCCCCCGGATGTTTCCGGCTGACCCGGCAGCACCCCAGGCGTGGGGGCCTCCCCCACCCGGCCGGCCAGGTGCGAGTGGGCGGGGCCCGGGGCGGCCCTCTAGCCGGCTGCGGGACTGCGGGAGTTAACAGGTCGTCGGTTTTAGGTTTTTAGGGGCAGAAGGCTGAAGGCCAGGGCTCAAAACCGACTCCACCCACTTGCTTTATTCAATCGCCCCGCCTCAATTTCACCTTCTACGGGCGCACTGAAGGGTGCTGAGCTCAGGGGCTCTGGGGACGGATGGGAGGCCCCTGGGTGCATCGCGTGCCTCGCGTGGCCCCGGGTCTGGTGCTCTGCACTCCCACCTTTGCCCCGCAGGTCCAGGAGCAGCGCTGTGCTGCGCTTCTCTGGCATGATCACTTGCTGCCAGCCTGCGGGCTCTCAAAACCAGACTTCCGGGCCTCTCCTCACCCCCTACCCCGGGGGTTCACTGGAGCTGGTGTGACCTGAGGCCTGCTAGGCCTCAGCTTTGGTAGGAGCCTGTTACCATGATCTTCGCAGTCAGTGGCGACTAGAGGGAGGCCGGAGGCTGTGGGCCACCAGTTCCACCCGCGGCTAGTATTGAGCTGATTAGCTTCTTGGCTTAGTGCTCATTTGGGGATGGAAATTAAAAGGCTGAAATTTATCACTCATCACAAAGGCTTTGAACTTTAGATATACTTTAAGGCAGCACAAACACTATTATAGAAGTTCGGTTTTCCAGTGACTATGCAAATCTTGTTCTCAGGAGTGTGGGGAATATAACTGGGCCATAGAAACTGGCTTCCCACCCCTACAGACCAGGGCTGTGAGGAATCTCTGGCCACAGCCTGCAAGTGCCCACCGCAGGCCAGTGCCAAGCCATCTGCTCCAGCATTGGAAAAACATAGAATGAAACAGCAACGGAATTTATAAATATATAACTATATTTATTTTGAATATTAAATAGTTTTTAAATTACAAGCAATTTATTGAATCACACTATGCATCAATATACAGTAAAAATCTTACAATTTAAAAATGTACACAATTTAAACTGAAAGTTCATTAACTGTTGTATTGCCGTGAACCTCTTACAACTGTTAAAATGCAACATGGGAACCTCATAGGTGTGACTGCCCCATAGATCTTCATTTTTGGATAGGATTCAAACACTGGATACACACACCAGTCTATTATTAAGATCTAGCTAAGCCTGCGTGGACTTGAACAACCTGAACAGCACGTGTTCAAGCCGTTCAAATAACAGGTTGTTGGTAATGCAATACTGGTAACATGTCTTTTAACAATTTACTTATATCCTAAAGAGAATTTTCTTTAACAACCAGAACTTGAGCCAGATCCAGTGCCACTTACAAATATTGTCTTTCAGATTTAAATCTGAAGTACGTGCCTACACCTGCTCTTATTTTAAGGCAAGTATCTTGAAGCCCCTGTAACTTCATGAAGCCCAACATTTGGAGCCTAACACTTGGTTGCTTTTGGAATTTTCGGGTAAGGGGCTGAACAGAGTCAAGCTAGGAGCCACCGCCTTTGTGCCCCAGCCCTCAGGACAGATAGCAGTAAGTCTTTCACCCTACAAATACCCTCTGGGAAATGTCTATGAAAGGAAGAGGTTTTGACAGGCTTTTGAAGGCAGCAAGACAAATATTTTGCTTAGATAAACCCATTTCTATAGAAACAATTGCCTGTACATTTAAAAACAGAATGAATGTTCTGTTTTTAGTTTATGGAGCTTCTCCCTCAAGATGAATGGCGTCTTACCCAGCACAGTCTAAGTCTCAGATTCGGAGAGCACTTTTTCTATATTTCTCTTTCTGGTTTATCACAGGGTCATTTGATATTACCATCTAGCTAGTAAGGAAATGAAAGTTAGATTACATTTATCATAGAATTTAAAATAGGTAAACTCCACCAAAGTAAGACTAATGAAAATCTGATAGATTCCAAAGAAGGCCTGAAGGATCACTGAGTTATTATAAACCTTACCCAGATTATCTAGAGAATTTCACTGATTTATTTCATTGCATAACTCATGAGAACAAGTACAGCTTGAAATCCACTACTGGTAACCAACTTAGTAAAAAAATAAAAACGAATCAAACAACAAAGCACATGCTGACATTTCAAAAATGGGCTGAAAATTTTAATTTACATAATTTATTTCCTGTGTATTGCTTGTGATTTCAAAAGAACATGTTAACGCACATGTTTATTATAAATATAAAACCTTCCCTACCATGCAACATCACAGTAATATCTACTACTCCAGCCCCACCCCCCAACTCAATGTATAAAATGCTTTCTTTTGGCAATTAATTATGAGAGTGATAAAGACAAATTAAAATGGGAGTTATGCTGTTAAAATCTCCTTAAATATAGTGAAAAATGTACAGCCCCAAAAGACCAACACATTTACCTCAGGCTGACTGTGTAAGAAGACTATATATCCTGTAGATCTGCTTGATTTTAATCATTAAATCTGAACTCCTGAAACCTGTAATTTGAAACACTACTGTAATTGCTTCTCATTTCCTTTTCAACCAAGACTGGTAGTTAGCTGTAAAAATTCAGAAAACTCACAAAGTCTCCTTAGCAAGAAATTCAGAGTTATGACAATTTTGGCAATGCCCTGTTGACTTTCTTTTTCTAATGCTTGGTTGACTTTTTCAATATGCACATCACTAAGTCCAGCTCTCTGGCACTGCTGTCCCAGCCGTGACAGGGGACTCTCTCCATTCTGAATTTTCTTGTCTGTAAAGTTATTGCTATGTAAAAAGTTAGTGGAATGGATGGATAATAAAGGTCATCATTTGCTCGCAAACTCTAGCCAGTATATTCATTTGTAAATTGCACTAAGACCCGAGTTCCTGTGACTTACAATCACGTGCTCCTACCTGGGCCTGGGGAGTCATCCTAGAGTTACACTCCAGTCAGGAAAGCAAATCAGCACCGGAAAACATTGGGATAAAGGTTCAGGGTGTGGGGACCACAAACGTGAGGCTGCACCTAGAACAAACGGCTTCATGACAGACATGCAAGCCTCCTCAGCACAGTGCCACTAAGCTGCTCTAGCCCCTGGAAACTTCCTGATGTCAAAGTGGAACTCAAGGACTGCAGAATGAGGTCTGCTTTTTATTATGAACACCTGATTCCTGTCAGCATTGTGCAGCCATGCCAGACAAGCTTGGTCACTTTCAAAGCAAGGGAAAACACTTGGTGCTTAATGCAGAGGGGAAGGTTAGTGCAGATGGTGTGGGCAGTGTGTGGATATGATGGCCGCCCAAGGTCCTGACCAGGAGAACAAGCCAGCTGTGGAGGCACCACCATTGTCCTTATCCACAGCTGTAGGCGCTAGTGTATCTCCATGGTAACAAACCAGTCACACCTGGACATAGGGGGACTTGGCGTGATTCTGAGGGGAAAACCACGGAGGTTATTTAAGAGCTCAACACCCAAACTGTGTAAATAGATTTCAAACCGTCCCTCCGCGGCTACCAGAGCGCTCCCTGGAACATCTTCCTCGGACTTCTCTACCTGCTAGATGGAAGGAGGTGCAAGGACACTGAGGCCACAGGGTCCATGCTTTAAGAACCGGCTTTAAGGGGAAGTGACTTGGGGGCCACTTCCTTTGCCAGAGGCCAGCAGGGAGACAAAGGGTGCTTGGGTCCCCAGGGAGAGAAATCAGGGGATCCCACATTCTAACTCACAGCTAAGTTCTGGGGCCCACTGCCTACTGATTAAGAGTTTTAGAAAATTGGGGGGTGGATAGAAGAATCACACAGAGGGGCTGCAAGACCCTTCAGCTCCTCAGAGAAGCCTCATTTGCTATAGGGAACCTGCCTTGGAGAGAAAAGACAAAAATGTATTTCATCCAATTGACAAAACAGAGCAACCTTTTTGGACTCATCAAAAATATTTCCTATAAGAACATAAAACACTAATATTCGGAATCATTTATCATTTGCGAAAGAGTACCATATGTACAATTCCAGCAACTCTAGAGACAGCATAACACTCAAAATATTTAAGCTTTACAAGTACCATGCAGAGCAAACAAACTATAAAACAGAAAAAAAAAATCAAACTAGTGGATAGCACCAGCTTGACCTGCCTTAGTTTCCTTGAATAATTTAAGATTCTGTACAATATCAGGGACTCTTAGAACATTTATCCACAGTGCAATTACAGAAAGCAATTAGTGATTTCTTTGAAAACAATAAATATGGCTCACTGGTGCCCAGTCCATCATGCGTCCTCCGGGCCGTGCACAGACCAGGATGCACAACGTGGACACAGAGAACAGCCGGTGTGGAAACCAGATACAGTTCCGAGCCTGCAGTCCGCACATGCCAGAGCGAGGCAGGCGCCACCCCAGATGCCCGAGCGTGGGCACTTCCCCGGGTGGGAGGTTCGCTGTGCAGGTGGCAGACTGCGTGGCCGGACGTGCCTTCAGCCAGGCCTCCTACTTGGGCACCTGACCCAGCGCCACTCCCCTCCATCTCCTGAGTCGCTCTCTGTCCGGTCTCGGCAGATGGCGAGTGCATGTCGTTGCTTGGCTGGCAGCGCAGGAACGCCACTGGGAGGGGGAGCAGCCAGGGACCCCAAGAGTGCATGAGCACCCACCTAATCTTTTTCTCCATCTTCACTGCTTCCTATTTAGGAAAGAGCAAGCAAAACTGGGTTTTTAAATGATCATCACAGATAAAAATAGCCTGGCCAGCATCTGTTCTCTGCCGCAGAAAAGGGAACTGAAGCTAGAAGTGCGGCTGTCCACCACCTGCACAAGCTGCATGTTTTTGTCCTTTTACAGCAGCACCTGCCAGACTCTCGCGAACACATCTGCTCAGCTCACACGCTGGGTCAATGTCAGTGCTGGGGGCACAGGAGAAAACCAGCTCTGATGTCCCTCTGACAGATCGTTAGGTAATGGGCATTATCTAATCGGTACAATTAAACATAGCTCAAACACAAATAAAAGCTCTTTATATTTCAGTTATTATTTGATCAGCAAACTTCAAATAAAAAATGTGCCTATTAGCATTTATCTTTCAATCTAGTTATGGGGAAAAAAAGGATCCATATGTTCAGATAATACAACTTCAAATGTGCCCTGCCCATGACTTCCCACCCAGACCTCTGGTATCACAAAGACCAGAACTTAATGGCAAAATCAACATTCCGGGGAAAAACCAGAGCACGTTTGGGCTCAATCCTTAACTCAAGGGGCCAAATGTTCCAACAGCATAAACTTTCTTAAGAGTTTATTTTCTCCAGGAGAAAGTAGAGATGGAACTGGGACCTTAATTCAGACTAGGACTTAAATCTTAGGGAAGAAAAAGAAGGCAGGCAGAGTACACCCCAGGGAAAATTCTAGTGACCCAGAGCTAGGCTCCACTTGTTTGGGTTGCCCAGCCCCGCAGGGGGCATCTACAAGTAGTAAAAAGCTTGTGGAGTAACAGAGGACTAATAGTGGGGGTGTGGCCCCCAAGCACACACTGTCAAGATTGTGAGAGCTTAACAATTTATGACCTTAGCAAATACCAGAACAGATCAAATTAACATGCATTCAAGCCTGGCAAGGAGGGTCACCAGGCTGACACCCACCCCCAGTGCACATGCTCCTCACCTCCTTGCTCGATGTCAGAGTCGGTGAGGTGTGTGAGAGAGAGGCTGGCGATGTTGGCAGGAGAGATGGAGAATCTGGAATATGGAGACGCGTGAGGCCAGCTCTGCTCTGCACTCCGGGGGGGTGGCGGAGGAGAAAAATACTTTGATGTTTGAAGTGAAGGCTTGGAACTAAGAAGATTACTTGTTGTCTTTGACATAAAAGGATCTGGGGAGAAGTCATCATCCCATTCAAAGCCTCCACCTAAGCGTTAAAAAAAAAAAATTCTTTCATCATTTCATGATAAAGAACAGAGGTGAGCGCAAATGCACAGGTGTGCTGGACAGAACAACACACCCACTTGGGTGACAGGTGGCAGAGCCACTCCACATGTTTCACAAGGGACCATTTAAAGCAATATGTTCAGTTAGCTTCAAAAAATTTGCAATGTGGGCCTCCCTAGTGGCGCAAGAGGTTAAGTGTCAGCACTATGAAGCTATCAGCAGCCACTGCAGCACGAGTTTGATCCCTGGCCAGGGAGCTGACCCACACGGCACAGCAGACCTTTCCTGTCTCATCCACGGCTCCCCTCAGCAGTGTATATCAGTAGATCTGCCTGTTCTGCTCCCTACTCTGTCTGGTGAATCCTCTCACCCTCCCACGCATCTGGTCTGTACCCAGTTCTTGTATGCATAAATAAATAAATCTTTAAAAAAATGCAATGTTCACAAGGCACGATCTTCTAGTTTCTAGTCACTAAGAAGTGAAATACCTTCTTCATCAGTTGAACTTTCAGAATTTATGCACCTGCTCAGGTAGGGAGAACCTGATGATGGTGCTGTGCTGCTTTGCTCAGGACTGTGAGCTTCTCCTCCGCAGTGCCCCAGCTCCTTGGTTGGGGTCTCCTGAAAAGTGAAGCAGAAATTCCCATCAGCAAAAGCCTGCTCATGGGAAGCTGCCAATGTATGTATCACAGACTGGCAGTTCATCTCAGTGAGCAATGTTCACTTTTAAACGTTGGATTCCTGGAGAAGGTGGCCTTGTCCGTCCTACCATATGCAGCTCTGAAACCTGGGCAAAACACTAGAATTCAAAATACAACCAACCAGCAATGAGTTCACTGCCCCAATATCTCCTGTGAAATTCAAAGTGAGCAGTGGTATGAACAGAGAAAACTCCAGAAGCCCTTTGGCTCTGGTTCTGGAAGCATGAAGGGGGTCTTCTGAGCTCAAAGTGGAAAGGAACTTCAATGTTTTCTCTCTCTTTTCTCTGTTCTCTTAATCCCAGTCCCTGTCTGGCTGGCAGACACCTATAATCCTGAGGGCAGTGACACTTCCTCTCCACCTGGAGGACATATAATCGCTGAGGCAGAGGAGAGTCCCTCCTCCCCCCATCTCACTGTTTTGTCTCTGAGTCTAAGACATCAGAAAGTACCACGAACATCACGGAGAGGAAAGAGCTCAGGAAAATGACCCCATAAAGTAGTTTGTGAACTCCCAGTTTTCCCTCTGAGCTGTGCATGGCAGATCTGATCCTGCACCTGCACAGCACACCCAAGTGCTGAGAAATGAACTGCAGGGAGACTGCTGCCAAGTTCCAGTCAATCAGTGGGTGTGACATGTACCAGGACAGGTCCAAACAGGACAGCAAAGACTTGGAAAGGGGAACTCACACTGAAATCCCAATCCACAGAAGACTGGTCAGAACTTATAACATAAACCCAAATGGATCAATGCCCACTAAGGCAAATATATCAACATTCTCCACAAAATATAAGTAATAAGACACATCACAAAACATTGAATAAAGATACAATCTAAAATTACTCAGCATACAAAGCATCAGGAAAATCTTAATTCAGAGGGGAAAAGACAATAAACAAGTAGACAGGGATGTTGGAATTATTTGAAAAAGACTATTTTTAAAATGCTCTTACATTAAGCGTAACAGTTTTGAACAAAAATACAGAAAAATCTCACCAAAAGAACAGGTGATAAAAAGGATATCAAAATGCAAATTTCAAATTAGAAAAACACAATAACCTAAATTTAAAAACTCACTGGACTCAACAGCTGACTGGAGATGACACAGAAAAAAAAATGAATGAGAAGTAGATCAATAGAAACAATATGAACAATACCGAGAATAAAAATAATTGGGGGACTGTGGGAAAGGAACAGACCTTAGGATCTATAAGACAAAACCATCAGGTCTAATACTAGAGTCCCAGAAGAGGAAACAGAGTGTGGTAGAAAGTTATCTAAAGAAACAATGGCTGAAAATGTCTCACATTTGGTGAAAGACATAAAACTACAGATTCTAGAAGTTCAGCAAATCATAAATGGTATAAACACAAAGAAATTCATGCCCATAATCCAGAAATCCACCCCCAAAATCAAACTACTTAAAACTAAAGATGAAGAAATTTCAGATAATGCTAAATAAAAAAAAGGGGGGGGGCAACTTAGCAGTCTATATTCAGGGAAAATATCTTTAAGGAATGAGTGTGAAATAAAGAAGAGCCCAGATGGAGAGAAATTAAGAGAATTGTCAGATTTGCTTTAAAAAAAAGGCAAGGAAAAACTATACCAATGAAACCTAGAACATCAAATATGAGAAAAAGAAAACAGCAGTAACTATAGTAACTATCTGGGTAAATAAAACACTGCTCTTCTCTGGAGTTTCTTAAAACATATTTTACTGGAAGTGAAGCATACATATAGCACTGTCTGATGGGTTTTCAATATAAGTGTATATAATACACCAGACAATTCAAGAAAAGGGGGGAGATTTAGTAAAAGGCCTACAGAGTAGAATGGTTTCCACATTCCATTTGCAATGGTAAAGTATTGATTCTAGGTACACTGTGAAAAGTTATTTATATTGGATTCCCAAGAACCACTATAAAACTCTAAGATACATAGTAAAAACATAACAGGTAATACTAAAAATTGTTCAAATTATCCAAACAAAGCCATGAAAGAGAAATAAGAGCCAGAGGAATAAACAGAAATGAATAAAATGGCACAAACCTAGATCCAGACATATAAGTAATTATATGAAATCTAAGAGGTCAAAGAACATCAATCACAAGATACAGATTTTCAGAAGAGACTAAAAAACATGACCCAAACTATAGGGTCAGCTTTCTACAAGAAGCTAATGTCATATAATGATATAGATAGATTAAAAGTGTAAGGATGAGAAAAGATCCATTATACAAATGCCAATTAAAAGAAAGTCGAAGTAGCTGCATATTACATTTTCATATCAACTGATGCATTAATATGAGACAAAGGCATAAATGACATCACATAATGATTAAACAGTCAATTCAACAAAGAGTTAAATGATTAATTCAACAAAGAGATATAATAATCTTAAATGTGTATGCAGTAACAACAGAGCTGTAAAACTGATGACACAAAAACTGATAGAAATGAAAAGAAAGATAAGTTCACAATTATATTTGGGGATTTCAATACTTCCCCTCAGCAACAGGTAGAACAGACAAAAATCAGCAATAACACAGAACTGAACAACATCAATCAACCAAATCTAAATGACATTAATAGAATAATCTGCCCAACCAAAGGCAAAAGACACATTCTTTCAGGTACACATGGCACATTCACCAAGAGAGACCATATCCTAACTCTAAAACAAACCTAAACAAATTTAAAAGAATTGAAACCACATAAAAATATAATCTCTGACCATAATGGGTGGTCTAATGGAAAGTCTAATGACTAGAAATCAATAATGGAAAAATGCAAAATCTTCAACCCTTGGAAATCAAACAATATTTACAGTCCAGGGTTCAAAGGGGAAGTCTCAAATAAAATTATAAAATATTTTGAACTGATGAAAATACAACATATTAAAATGTGTGTGATGCAAGTAGTACAGAGTGACCGTTACAGTGTTAGATACTATAAATATTCATATAATAGAGAAGAGGTGTCAAATCCTAAATTTCTACCTTAAGCATCTAAAAAAGAACAAAATAAACCCAAAGTTAGTAGAGAGAAGGAAATAATAAAGATAAAGCAGCAAAACTGAAAAGAAAACCAGAAAGAAAAAAAAATTCCATGAAATCAAAAGAGTTCTTTGGAAAGATTAAGAAATCTTTACAATCCCTTCCAGAAAGAGGACATAATACTTTCCAACACATTATATGAGGCCAGCATGCCCTTGATACCAAAACCTGACAGCGCCCAAATGAAAAAGAAAAAAATCTGCTACGCCCTCCAAACTAGATTAATATACCTCATGAATACAGACACAAAAATTCTCAACCTGTTAGCAAATCAAATCCAGTAACACATAACAACAACAACAAAAAAGCAAACCCTTAGAACTAAGAGGGTTTTATTCCAGGAAGGCAAGGGTGACTAAAATTTGAAAATCGACGAATGTAATCTACCATAGTAACAGAAGAACATGCTCCTCTCAACTAATTTATAAAATGCATTTGAAACAATGATGCAAGAAAATAAATTTTTAAAAATGTACTTGATGAAACTCAACATCTGTTCAGGATAAAATTCTCTCAAACTAATAAGAGAGAAACTTCTTTCATTGGTTCTTGATATTTGATAAATAGCATCTACCAAAAAATATCTACATCACAATCAATGGTGAAAGACTGAGTACTTTTCTGCTAGGACTGGGTTCAAAGCCAGGATGTCTTGGGCCTCCCCTGGTGGCGCAGCAGTTGAGCACTGGGCTGCGCTGGGCTTCGAAGCTGCCCGCAGCCTCTGCAGTGCCGCTCGATGCCCAGCCGCAGGCAAGGGTCCCACATGTCACGACAGACCTCTCCTGCCACGCCCGCTGCTCCCCTCAGCAGTGTATTTCGTCAGTCTGCCTGTTTTGTTCCCTGCTTTGGCTCTGGTGAATTCTCTCACCCTCCCGTGCTTCTGACTGTACCCAGTGCTTGTATAAATAAATAAATAAATCTTAAAAAAAAAAAAAAAATGCCAGGATGTCTTGGGCACACACATCACTCCTATTTGTACTAGAAATCCTAGCTGGTGTAACAGGTAAGAAAAAATAAGTAAATAAAGAACTTACAAAATGGTAAGGAAGAAATAAATTTATCCCTATTGCAAGCAACATGATTGTTTATGTAGACAACCACAAAAAAAATTTTCCAAAACACAAACCACCCGGGCCTCCCCGGTGGCGCAGCGGTTGAGCGCTGGGTTGCGAAGCTGCCCACAGCCTCTGCAGCGCCAGTTCGATCCCCGGCTGCTCCCTGGCCACCAGAGGAGGGTCCCACATGGCGCGCAGACCTCTCCTGCCGCCCGCTGCTCCCCTCAGCAGTGTACTTCGGTCCTTCTGCCTGCTCTGCTCCCCGCTCTGGCTCTGGTGAATTCTCTCACCCTCCCGCGCTTCTGACTGTACCCAGTGCTTGAATAAATAAATAAACAAATAAACAAACAAACAAACAAAAAAAAAAAAAAAAAAAAAAAACCACAAACCACCCCCAAAAAACTTACTAGAATGAGTGAGTAGTTAAATTGCAGGGCACAAAGTTAACATACAACAATCAATCACACTTTTATAAACTGGCAAGGAACAAATGGAAACCAATATTTTAAAAATACTGTTTACAGGGCCTCCCCTGGTGGTGCAGCGGTTGTGCGCTGGGCTGCGAGGCTGCCCGCAGCCTCTGCAGCGCTGGTTTGATCCCTGGCTGCTCCCCAGCCCCTGGAGGAGGGTCCCACATGGCGCGCAGACCTCTCCTGCGGCCTGCTGCTCCCCTCAGCAGTGTGCTTCAGTCCTTCTGTCTGCTCTGCTCCCTGCTCTAGCTCTGGTGAATTCTCTCACTCTCCCGTGCTTCTGACTGTACCCAGTGCTTGTATAAATAAATAAAAATAAATCTTTAAAAAAAAAAAAGACTACGATGAGATACGGGGTTACCCACTAGAGAAATCAAAATAATGACAGTACCAAATGCTGGCAAGGATGCTGACAAACTGGACCTTTTGGGCACTGCTGGTAGGAGAATGTAAACTAGTACAGCCACTCGGAAAGCTGATACCTTCTTAAAAAAATAAATATGTACATACCATACAACTAGCACTCACACTCTTACGTCATTATCCCAGAGAAGAAACATACCAACCCTTACCTAGCTGTTCAAAGCAGCTTTTATGTGTGTTGTCAAGTGGAAAAGCCCAAATGTCCTTCGATGGGTGATGGTGAAACACACTGGGATATATCCAGACCCTGGAATACTACTCAGTGATGGAAAGGAAGGAACTATTGATATAAGCAAGAATTGGATGATCTCAAAAGGAATTATGTGCTGAGTAAAAACAGTCAGCCTAAGGTTATACACCTTGTGAATCCATTCAGATGACATTCTTAAAGACAAAACTAAAGTGACTGAGAACACATCGTGGTTCTGGGGATTAGGATCAGAGGGCAGATGGGATAAGGAGGGAGCACAGAGTGAGGGAACTGTTCTGTACCACAATTGTGGGGCAGTCACATGAACACTGACGCTCATATAATGGTACAAAAGGGTCAATTTTACTAATTACTAAAAAAATAAAATTAAAAATCATGAAAACAAAAAATGTCAAGCCAGCCAACAGATGAATGAATAACATGTAACACACCCACAGGGGACCGCTAATGAAACAGAACATACAGATGCATCTCAGACTACCAGGGTGAGATCATGCATTGCCTCACCCCACCACACACATGAATTCTAGGACTGGAACTGGCAGTAACTCCCAAATTACTTTCTTTTTAGAAATTATAAAACAATCTGTAGCCCCAAAATGGCAATCAGGAAAACACATCACACTCAATTTCCCAACACATTCTGGAATTCTCTACTATGACAATTCAGAGATAAGATACCTGGTCAAACAGATAAACCGTGACATCATCAAAAAATGTCACAGCTTTCTTTTCTTTTTTCCAGTCTTCGGGCAACTGGTCGAGGGCAACAGAGGCTGAGGGTTTCAACAGGCTCCGTAGGTGCCTCCCATCCTCGTTGCTGAGGATCACAGGCACAGGGTGCTCCGTCTCGTCCTCTGACTCAGAGCTGAGGCTGTGAAGATTGAACGCCCGCAGGTCGTCGTCTGAGTCATCGCTGTTTTCATCTTCCTCATCTGCATCGATTCCATCCTCAGAGAGATCAAGCGTCCCTGACACACCAAGTTTTCCCAAGTATTTCCCTTCAATGTCTGGTTCCTTCAACTTGGGGCCCTCAGAGTGGCTGGAAAAGGACTTATCAGCTATCAGGTCTGCTGGGCTACCAGAGTGGAGGGTGGAATTTGCAAAGGCAAGGAGTTCATTAGTGTTGGTTCCAGTGGAGGCCAGCATGCAGGGGTGATCCTCTTGTGCCTCCAAGTCCTCACCGCTGCTCAGCTCCAAGTTCAACAACGGACTTCCCGCCACATCTTCAGGAGGATGTGTCTGTTTAGAAATGTCAGTGGGTGCTGGTTCTGCTGTTTCTCCTAACTCTAGGTGACTGGAATTCTGCAAAGCAGACTGACAACTTTGGTCTGGAAGACTATTTTTGGTTTCCAGGCTCTGTTCTAGGATGACTGGTTCAGGTAGGGCCTGATCCGTTACCAACTCTGAGGCTGATGCTGAAGTTGCCGGGACACCCTCGGACTTCTTATCAGGTTCAGAATCATTATCTGAGAAATAAGCAGAGTCTCGGTAGGAGCTCTGGGAACCAAGTGGAAAAGTCTGTGAGGTCACTTCTGTACCTCTATGGCCATCAGCTGCATCTGAGATGACAATAATGGGGTTGGGAGGTAAACTGTCAGGACCACAATCATGGGCTGTGGCTGAGTCAGAGGCTGAGGCTGAGGCTCCATCGGGAGCAGGGTGCAGAGTCCATTCAGGAGACTCCAGGTTTTCCGTCTCGTAGCCACTGTCTGCAGGCTTGTCAGGGGGCAGGAGTTTCTGAGGAGTGTGAGTGCCCAAAGACCCCAATAAAACTTCACGAACATCCACTGAATCCAGAGAGTCGGGGGTCTCCACAGACTGTTCCGAAGTCGGAATAGGTGTTGATAAGCTGTCTTCTAAAAGGCTATCTTGACTGGTGGAGTCTGAGGAAAGGGCAGATGTCAAGCCCGTCTCTTTTGTAGCATCTTTAAAATTCAGATGATTCAGCGTCTCCACAGCTTCCAAGTTTTTCTCCAGCAGACTATTACTGGAGTGATTTTCTGTAAGTGACTGATTTTGTGAGTCCTGTCTCGGTTCTGGAAGACTGCTCCCTATACTCACCTTACTGGCAAAAATGTCATCAACAAGAAGTGAGTCAGTTTCAGTCCATCTCAGGGTTTCCTCACAGTGGTGAGTCAAGCCATGGGACCTGTCTCCAGTGCCATGTGTTCCAGCATCAGTCGAGGGAACTTCAGTTGGGATGGTCACAGAGTCTGGACTTGTTTCTTGGCAGAGGCGGTCTTCATGGACACCGACATCTAAACAAGTGGGCTTGGTTTCTCCTTGCTTCAGGAACATATCTGGAGGTACATTATGAAGCGTTCCTTCTGTTTTGAGTGAGGTAGGGGGCACCTGCACTTCCAGGGAAGCCTGCAAGGAGGTAGTCGAGGTGCTGTCCTCAAGCATGACCCCTGCATCTTTACCTTTCACACTTACATTTTCCTGCAACAAAGAAATATCTGGTATATTTTCAGCAAATTTAAACTCAGTGGTTAAAGAGTTTCTACACGGAGTTTCTAATATAGTTTCAGTAAAACCAGCATTTTTAAGTTCTGTTTGAAGATCATTTACATGTTCCAATGAATCTTTTAGTAATTTTTTCTCTTGAAGAAATAAAAAGTTTTCCGACAATTCCTGAATTTTCTGTGGGTCAAAGTTATCTTGGTGCATAAGGTTTTCTGTTAAGCAAAGAGGCTCACAATCAAAAAGCTTATGGGGTTTTTCCTTCTCAAAGTGGTATGTTATTGCTGACTCTTTGGGATCATCCAAACTTGAACTTAAAGTGGTTGGCTTAAAGTCAGCTTGAACTCCATTTAATTCCATTAAATCAAATATTTTTTGGTGACTGGGCAAATCCTCTGATTTGTCAAGATCATTAAATATATTGTTGAAAGGGCTCTCAGGTCCCCTGGTGGCATGTACAACCTCAGGCATGCTGGAATCTTTGGGGTCTACACTGTTTTGGAAGAAATCCTCATCTGTACTAGACTCCTCAAATTCAAGATTCCTGAGAGCAAGCGACTGGGATGCCTTATCACTCGTCCTTTCTGGATTGTCCATTTCAGTCGTGAGCAGTGCAGGCGGGTAATCAAGCTCCAAATTGCTACCACTCTTTTCTTCTAATTGGATGTAATAGTCACTGCCAACAGAAAGGTTGTGAGCATCAAATACCGGAACCACTCCAGGGGCCCTAAGCGAAACATCCTGGCCACTGCCATCTTGTTTCCCAGGCCCAGGATCTGAAAGTGAACTCTCAAAGACTTCAACTGGGAAGAAGATGCTTGTGTAGGACAAGGCTTCCTCTGGGTGGCCCCGACTGTGCTCATCAAAATGGTCATGCTTAGCAGCCTCCCAAACATACTCGAAGCTCAGGCCCTGGCTCGTTTCAGTCACAGTGAGGACTTCCTCCATTTCACGACCAAGGCGATCTCTGGTAAAATGGTCGAGAATTGGGAATGCAGCATTATTGGAAGTGTCTCTGCTATTTGTATTTGGTTTAAGAGCATTCCACTGTTGTTCAAAGTCAACTTCTGAGTCCCTCTGGCTTTGCATGCGTAGGTAGGTAAGCAGCCTATGCACGTCTTCAGCAGCTGGTCTCTTGTCTGGTGACAGCCAGCAGAACTGTAAAACTTCATACCTGAGTGACACGTAAGAGGTAATTAATGGAGGAATAATAAACTTTTTAAAAGCAAGAAATGATGTCACAAAGGCCCTTAAGCCAGCTCAATGCCCCAAAAGTTCCTACACTTACTCATTACCAACCGTATGAAGTTCAGTTCATGGTGAGTTTAAGGTGAAGGAGGAAATGAAGAAATACAATATTTGGTCCACTAATTTTTTTTGTGTTCTCAGTACACTGCAGTGTCTAACTGCAATTTTTTTGCCCTGTCATCTATTTTTCTGGTGTTTATCCAGGGACCTAGCCACTAATGTAGATATTGTGTACTTGTCTAATGTTTTTACCCTTACTTTATTTTGCGAGAATTCAGACAAAGGCAGTTGTAACTAATCTCTATCCATTACCCTGAGAAAGAGTAACACTACAATCTTTTGCAGCACATGTCTCCTTAAGAGCATAAGAGGAGCTAATAGTGGAGGGAAAAGAGTAGAGAATGGAGTCCTGAGAAAGCACCACCAGGAGCTGAGTCTTCAAAGGGTTGGATGAATAAGGGCAACTTCTCAAATTAAAGCCATGGGCAAAAGGGAAAACAAAGATAACTTTTAAGTATTAAATTTATAGAGTACACATCAAGTTATTACTCTGGATGAAATAGTTTTAGCAATTTAAGGACCTGAGCAATACCTAAATGCAGGATGCCAAGCTTCAGAGGCCATAACAGCTGGGCATGTGTTGGTACAGACAGAGGTCTAAAGAGGTAAACCAGATCATGATTGCAAATGGAGTAAGAATTAGTCCCGGAGGCAAAATTATAAATTTGAAAAAGAAGTAAATTTGTTTTGCAAATGTCAATATACATTATGAAAATTAATATTCAATTGCCAAATTAAATATTATTCCTATGCTATCACTTTTTTCACATATTAGATATAAATTATGTAAATAGCCTCATTTTAAAACAATCCCACAATAGGAAACTCCCTTAATATTGAATTTTCTAATTATTTCAGACTTCAGATTTTTTTCTTATTGCATGTAATTACATATATAAATTCCCGCTTGTTCTAAACATTTTCCACAAATATCGTTAAGCTTTAAAAATAGATGTTAATTTAAGATCAGTCATAAATAATACACAAACATCTACTGTTTAAAAAAATAGGAAATATTTTTGGAATTGGGATATTCATGGAATATTCATGGAATTGGGATTTTCTTACTTTTTGAAGAGAGTAAACAAAACATGGAGTTACTAACCATCTATCAGAATAAGGCTGCTCCAGCTGGGGCTTAGGTAGTTTGGTGTCTCTCTCTCGGATCACCTGATTGAGGACATCTAAGTTGGAAAGGTTGGAATAAGGCTGAGCAGCATTATCAAAAAGCTCCCAAAGCGTCACACCCAGGGACCTGTGGGGGGGAAAAAAAAGGTTCTTTCTTTCTCCCTTTAGATGTCAAATTTTCATCATTCACACTTTTAATTTGTATAGGCATTAATAATTTTAAGGGCAAGGTGTGTACTGAAAGATTATTAAAGATAGCTCTTTGACATGATTTTAAAAAGAGTCGTTTCTAGTAAAACGAGGAGTACAAGAAGAATACCTCCCTCATACTCAGTATTTAACACTACTTTAGAAGTTCTGGCCAATGCAAAAAAACTAAAACAAAACATAAATAACAAGCATAACTATAGGGAAAAGTTGACAAGTCAACTTGAAAACTCAAGAAATTATTTCAAAAGTTATTAGAATGATCTAAGTTCAGCAAAGCTGTTGGATATAAGATAAACATTCTGAATTCTGAGTTTTGGTGGGAAAAAAGTCCATTTGTAATAGCAGTAAACATCAGAAAATATCTAAAGAAAACTTTCATGGACAAGCAATCTTTTTCCCTGTTAGAGCCATACTCCTCTGGTTGCATTTATTCCTCAGTAGTTTGAGTTGTTGTTCTAATGAAGGGACTTCCCTCTGTGACTCTGTCAGCACTCTGTGCCACAAGAGGCCACCTGCCCAGTCCTCTCAGGACCTTAAGGACATAGTCATCCTCTACAGGCAGGAAAGTTCCTTCCACATACTGCCTTCTACGTACTGGTTCTCATATTCCAGAGCTCTATCCCCATGGAAGTGGCAGCTGCTGCTCCAGACAGATGAATACTTATTCTTCACCTCCTCCATGCAATCCCTGCATTTCCTGCCCACCTCTGCCATTTATTGGAGTCTCCAGTTTAGTGAAATGGTCCCAAACCTGGCTGATCATCTGTGCCATCTGGGAAGCTTTAAATTAACACACTGGTATTTAAGACCCATCCCCAGCACTCTTTAGCGGGTAGATGCAGGTTGCCTCAGGAAATGCATTTTCAAAAAGCTCCCAAGTGATTCTGATGCCCAGCCTGCTTTGAGTATTAATGGTTTATGCAACTTTGATCAATTCCCACCAAGATGCTTATTTGAATATTAAACAGTATGTTGATACATATATGTGACATTATATAACAGCTTATGAGTTAAATTCTCTTATGGTAATTTCACAATTTTTTTTCAGTGAAAAAATCACCATATTCTGTATCTAAGTTGGGAGATCATTTCTGTCAAAGGAAATTAAACAACCCAAACTTCCTAATCAATTTAAAAAGTAAGAAGCACCTTCACTCTGGCACAGAATTGCTAGGATAAAGGGCTATTTTGGATGCAAAAGAAGGTTAAGACATGGCCAGTGACTTTATGGAGTTTATAATTTAAATGAAGGGAAAAAATTCACCTGAAAGGTAGTATATAATCAGTGGCAAAATGAATCTTGTCACTATCAAAATTGGTTTGAACTTGGGGATATAATTCAACCTGTTCCAAATCCCCAATTTAACTCTTCTTGCTCTCCCAATAAGTCCTACTCTGAAACAAAATACCCCTCCAGGCTGTCTTACCCTATTCTTCAGAGAACATGTAAGTTGGGATTTCCTCAACTGCTCATACCTCACCACTCCTCACATCTTTTCTGACAGTCCCTTTCTTATCTTGTCAAAATGGTCACAGGGAAGGACGAGGGTCTCCCGTCCAAGGCCAATCCCTGTCTGGAGCTTTCCAATCTAACCCCCATCCTATCTCCCTGAGACCAGCACCATAGATCATCTTTTATTTCTGTCTATTCAGCCCTTCACCTCACACTGGCTCCTGCCCCCTTGAATATCACCTTCTGGGAGAGAAAAAAAATCCTGTAACTCTTACCCTTCTTCATCAAGAGAAAGACCCTCTCGCTCACCCTGGCACAGGGCAGTGCAGCCCCTATTTCTGCTGCAGTTCTGCCACTAGATACTTTTCAGACTGTTAGAAACAAGGGATGGCTCTGTCTCTGGGAATGCAGGCTAAGTTTCTGGTGAACCACCCTGCAAAGAACAGTAAACAGATGAGGCATAGAAAGTATCTTTTTAAAGGAATCAAAGAGCAGGTAAGAGCAGGAAACCACAAGGGCAAAACCTAGGACTTAGAGATCTAGTAGAACACTTAAAATTACCTCTGTCCTGGGACATCTGCTGAAGCACAGAAGCTGTGCTTCTATGTTTTTGGTTCACAAAACTTAAAGGGAATATTGGTGGTGGTAGACAGGCCAAAGTCCTGAGTCTGCCCAAGGCAACGGGTCTCATAGAGAGACCTCCTCACAGCGGTAATAAACCTGCTCCCACTTTACTTCAAGTGCCTGAAAGACAAGTTATCTATGTGACCTTGGTATTGCGGTTCTATGAGTGAGTGTGAGTGTGTATCTAAGGTGTGTGTGTGTTGCGAGGGAGGGAGAGAAGAGTCCCTAAGAAGCCGTAAGCTGAGAGCTGGGCTTTACTGGGACTTGCAGCCCAAATTCACATCATCTCAGTAACCTAAAAAATTGTCACACTGAATATGTAAAGTGCTGGACTAATACAGTGCCCTTCCATGGCAGGACATCCAGGTGCCCAAAAGAGCAAACGCACATCCTCTCTGGAGGAAGGTTCAACTAGAGTTTTCTAAGACCCCTCACCACAAAAAATTCTCCAAGGAAACAAGAATAAGATCAAACCCACAAAAACTTGAGATACTGGAATTATCTGATGCAGATCATAACTCAATTATTAAAACACTGGGGTGATGTTTTTAAAAAATCAAATAGACTTCTTAAAACTGAAAAATCAGTAACTAAGTATAAACCTTAATGGAGAGATTTAACAGAAGAATAAGTATAGCTGAAGAGGGATTTCCAAAAAGAGAGAGAATTAGTGGCTGGAGCACAGATCTGAAAAGTTAGGTAGAGTATGTCACAGAAGAGTCAATAAGATGGAATATGCAAGAGATTATGAAACAAAAGATAGCACAAGAAGGCATAACACATGTCTATTTATGTAGACCTTTAAAAGGAGAGAAAAATGGGACAGAAGCAATATTTGAAGGATAAGGGCTGAGAACATCAACCTATAGATTTGAAAGCCAAATAAATCCCAAGCAGAAAAACATAAGAAATTCACACCTATATACATCATAATGAAACTACAAAAAAACAAAAGACAAAGAGAAGAGTTTAAAAGCAGCCAGAGAGAAAAAGTCACATTACCTTCAAAGAGCTTAGGTAGACTGACAGCTGACTTCTCAATAGCAACAATGGAAGCCAGAAGACAGTAGAATGATATCTTCAATATGCTGAGAGAAAATAACTGTCATCAAGTAAAAATATATTTCAAGAATGAGGACAAAAATAAAAGTATGTTTGGACCTACAAAAAAAAAACTGATGGTCTATTACCAGTAGACCTACACTAGAGGAAATTCTCAAGGACATACTTCAGGCAAAAGGAGTGCTCCCAGATGGGAAGCCTGGGATTAAATTTAAAAAAAAAAAAGGATGAAGAGCAAAGTGATCTGATCATGTGGTCAACCTAAACAAACATTGATGCTAAAAAACAATAACATCATCTTGTGGAGTTAAAAGAAAAAAGTAAAATGCCCAGCAATAGTAAAATATTTGTGTGTGCATATGTGTGTGATGCAATGTTAAACTGACTCAAAGTATGTAAAGTATTCTGAGGTTTTTGTATTGCTCAGAAAGAGGGCCAAGACATAAATTTATAATATTACACTAAGGTACGTGAAATATACATGTTATAATTTCTAGGGAAACCAATAAAAGTGTAGGAATAGAGTACACAGCTCCCAAACTAAGAGGAAAAACAATTTAAAATAATCCAAAGGGCGGTAAGAAGAAAAAACGAAAATTCAAAATAAAACAGCACAATAGCACAAATAATGTAGATGTAAATGAAGAAAGCTGTAATAGAAATTATTAGTCAAAGACTTAGATACATCCTTTTGACTTCTATTAACTGACCTCCCATAAATCACAGTTAAACATAATAGTCCAAACTACTTTGTTATTTCATTCACTTCAATAAGTATCTATTAGATATCTATGTATGCCAGGTCCTGTGGTAGGCACAGATAACAGTGGTTTCTGCCTTTAAGGAGCTTCCTGCTGTGGAAAGAGTAAGGGAGGTGGTGTTTAAAAAGGTAATTATATCACTGTAGCTGTGACAACTGCTGTGATGTCAATAAATTGTCTTTTTCACACCATCAGGTACTCTTTTATTCCTCCATCTGATTCAATTACTTTCCCTTAAGAAAATACTCAAGGAGAAAAGAAGTTTGGACTTTGCTAAACAAAAGCACACTAAGCAGGTAAATTAATACATACCAGATATTACTATACTTAGTTTGATCTGCAGTTAGTAGTCTGTCTTGAAAGCTGGTTACTAATTCTGGAGCAGTCCATCGCAGAGGGAAATTTTTTTTATCATCTGTTTCAATATAATCCTCCTGTTTTGTTAGAAAATATACATAATTTTAGTGAGCTCAATTATTTGATTTCAGGTCATTCTCAGAAAACATACTCAATTCCAAAAACATATCTGAAAAAGAAGTGGGCATGAAGGAAACTCTGGGTAGAAAATAGATGAGAGTTTCTCTGGGCTTCATGGGCTGGTGTCTGAGCCATGAACACAAGCTCAGTCATCCTTCCTGGAAAAGGAAGGTACGTTGTGTCTGATGCACAGAACACAGACTCTGAGCAAACATCTTCTAAAATACACTGGGCTTATGCCCCAAGTAGGGGAGTGTTTAATGAATAAGAGCAAAGGCTTTGAATTCTGACAGACTATGTTGTAAGTTCTCATTCATTTATGAGCTGTGGGACTTTGAGCAAGCAACAGATATGATAAGCCTTTTTCCTTATCATCCCTATGAATAGGGATGATACAATACTACCTCTCTTTATGAGGAAGATTAAATGAGATAATGTAGGTAAGACCTCCACAGTGTTTGGTATAAAGCTAGAGTTCAAGATACTCTAAGTGGCCAAATAACCATTTTCTGTTTTCATATTTTTTTGGTACAAAGTACGTGAAAAGATGACTCCTGTAGTCCTCACAAGAACCTGAAAACAAGACATTCTCTTCATGCTTAGAAAATAGAGACTAAGTGACTCATCCAAGGCTGCCTATATTCAATTACCTCAAAAAAAAAACTAGGGAGGGGGAAAGGAAGGAAATCCAATCCTATACTTAACTGAATTTGAGATGAAATTTTACTGAACGTGTAATCAAGAAAAAATCTATAGACTGCATATGTTATTACACAAGTGGTAATAATTTTTATTGTTCATGTACTCTAAAATTTATCAGCCAAAATTAAACGATATCACTCACACTGTGTATAAGCCTTTTTAAAGAGAGCATTCAGAAAGCTGTTGCAAAACCTTGGGTGTAAAGTCATTGATATAGACAACTTTGCATCAGATGCCAACACCACCACTAAAATACCTGGAATAAACCTCTTTGCAGAAATGCGCCACAACCAGATTCTTAGCCTCTCTTCCAAAAATGGAGTGGCATTTTGTAATATTATCACCTCATGAATAATGAAATGAAATCAGATTAAGGTGAGAACTCCTAAACCTTCGACTTACCTTGTACCTGCTGAATCCTATTCCATAATCTCCCACTTTCACATTTAAATCCGAGGTAAGAAAACAATTTCGCAGGGCCAAGTCACTGAAAACACAAAGATTGCAATGAGCACAGGAACAAGGAGAATCAACCACCAGGACAATTTAACCATCAATTGGGTTAGCTGACAAATGACATTTCATGTGACATAAAATTTCTGTGGAAGAATGCTTTCTCTCATAAAGTAATATATTGAGGTTCTGATTAATAATTAATGTTTTAAAATTTATTTTTACAGAAAAAGGATTACATATCATATTCTTAATCACTGAAAAATAGAGATGACCAGATTATTTTCCCCAAATAACTCTGACAGCTAAGGTTAAATACCCTTTCTGTACCTTGGTCTGCATCAATACCCAATTTACGGCTCATTTCCTAATATTTTCAGAGTGACCAAGAAAGAATTCTAAAATATTGATCTGAATTTTTTTATAATAATTTGTAATATTAATTATTTAGTAGTACTAGTCTATTTACTATTAGTAAAGAGTAACAGTTATAATGCCAAGCACCCTAAAATAATCTACATTAAAATTTTTGTTTTTTATCTCCTTTTTTGAAGCCATGCAAGCATTCCTATAATGGAAAGGCCCTAATAATGGGGATCTTTTCCAAATTACTCTCATCTCTTCTAAACTCTGTTTCTCCTCAAGGGAGGTAAAGGGCATATTTCCAAGACTTACTAAAAATAATTTACTTAAATAGTTTATCTAAGAACGAATTAATTTTTAAAATACGTAATTTGAAAAGCAAAAGCTGTTTTTCCTAAATGAAGTTCCTACATAAATAACATTAAACTTTTTGGATTTATCTTAAACACTTAGATCTTTAAGCCATCAATTGGCAAATGAATAAAAAAGTCAACAAATTAAAACAGAAAAGGATACCTAATCTATAGTTTTAAATCATAATACATAAAAGATATCAAAAACGGAATTTCTATAAGCCAAAATTTAAAATATTTATCTTTTTGTGATTATAGACCAAAACCAATTTTTTAAATCCTTCTTTTCAAAGATTTCCAAAGCTCACCTATGTGAAATACAATGATAACAAGGATGACGACAGCAATAGCTAACACTGATAAAATTCAATGACAGCTTGGTACATAAAACATGGGCTCTATTATATAATAGTGGTTAATATTTACAAAGCACTTACTTTACACAAAGCATTTCTCTAGGCACTTTATATTTATTAAATAACACATTTAATCTTCACAACAAACCTATAAGGTGGGTGCTGTCATTTTCCCTATTTATAGATAAGGAAACTGAGACACAGATGTTGAAGTAATTTTGCTAAGGTCACAAAGTTAGTAAGTTCAGTAATATTTTCATCCTTTTGCCATCAATGACCATTAATAACAACACAATAGCAATCAATACTATACTATGAATATGGCTGATCTTTGACAACCATGTGCTGATATGAATTTCCAGTTACGTTAAATTCCTTCTCTATACTCTAAATTTACAAGTGGCAGTATTCATGGTGCTCCCTCCAAAAGCTTTCAGGCTTGAGGAGGTGTCTGGGGAAAACCTTGGGATACCCCATTCCACTGCTGCTAACAATATAGAAACTCCCAACTTCCAGAGGATTGGTCCCTGTTTTCTGGAATGAAGGGAGGGAAGACAGGCAGAGTAATACACTTTTTGGGAGCAGAAAGAAGAAAATGCTTTAAGTCAGGCAGCTTTAGACAAACAGCTGCAATTGGCCAGTTTTGCAGGTTTTGTCAACAGATGTTCTATTACCACTAACCATCATTCTAGATAGAAACAGAGCCTTCTAAAACCTTCCCAACATCTCCCTCCTAAGAACTGAATGAGAAATGAGTGCTGGCATTTCAATCTGGGCAGGTGTGTGTTCAGAAGTAGGCTGGGGTGGCCTGAAGCTTGGCTGAGCACCTGCAAGGCACTTGGCACCTTCTGCTCTGAGTCCTCCATCCTCTCCTCTTTCCTTACACACGTTCAATGAGGTCTTCAGATACAGTGAATGTGAAGGTTAGATAAAAGATGGAAAGTTATATATGCAGAGGGCCTTTGCCTCTCATTATAAAACTCTCATAGCGTTCAACTGATAGTCTCAGGGAAAGCAGGAAAATTTCTCATAAGCTGAAATGCAGAGGTAATGAGGGAAAATACAATAGCATGATTGGGAGAATTTCTCATAAACTTACTCTTGTAAGCCCAAACTGCTCAGTCACTACAGTACAGTGGGAAAAGCACTGGACAGAGTCCCCAGGTCTGGGCTCAGTTTCAGTTCCACTACTTAAGAACTCTGCAACTTGGACTAAGTCACTTTTTGGAGTCTCACCAAAAAGCAGCAATACATGTGAATCAGCTAACTCAGGTTTCTACAAGGATAAAATTAAAACATATATGAAATGTTTTGAAAAGAAGGTGCTATTCAGATTCAAGATGATATAATTTCATTTAAAATTGGTAAAAACAAAGATTCGCTGAAGTCCAAACATGCAAAGCTAAACAACAGAAAAACATAAAGGCACAACTACTTAACAACAGAGGTTAACTCTTGACGTCAATGGCTGGTTTTGGTCAGGAAATACAAACATACCCAGGATATTCTTCCTTCAAGTTGAAAAACAGGTCTTGTGGCCAGGCTGCCAATGACCCAGCCCTGAAAGGCTCTCTCAAAAGCTCTGACTCGGCTCCACACATTGGCAGCATGCACTGTTGCCCCAGCTGTCCGTGGCTGCAAGGGACTCAGTGGCAAGCTAATGGACACAGGAAGTGGAGTCCACAATTCTAGAGAGTCCCCACCCCGATTCACAAGGAAGCATCACTATGTGTTCTAACTCACCCTAGAACTAGCGTTTATCCAAATTCTGAAGAACTGTTCTTAAGGAAACAGTTTGATACTGTTGGGCTCTCTTTCAAAATCATCCTCATCTACTTATGTTTTCCTGAGTAACCTGGATTCCTGATAAAAAGTGTAAGAAAGTAAAATTATTAAAAGTTACTGAATATTCTTCTAGAGGGTGGCATATATTATCTTATTTACGTAATCTTGACAACAGCACTTCAGGGTAAAGCTTATCCCCATTTCAAAGAAATAGGCTCAAAAGGATGAAGTAACGTGGTTTATACTGGTTAAGACTGAAGAGAGGTGAGCTAAGAACATGGACTCTTAAGTCTCACTTTACTCACCACACCACTCTGCCATGAAGTCTCAAAAAAGAAAAATGACTACATGAGTTCTGAAGAGATTCTACCACTTATAACTGGAAGATGGGATGTCACTCCAAGAGACACCACAGATTATAGCAAAGGGTTCTGATGTGACACAAAGAGGCAACTTTCTACTTAAGATTTTTGTCCCATTTTTTAGGTCAGTCCTTGCGAGCTGAACAACATTGCATTTACTGAGTGCCAATTGTGTATCAGGCACCTGCTCTGCCTTAGCTATACAGGGAAAACCTATACAGTGAAATGCTGGGTAGACAGAGGAAATTGCCCCTGGCTGGAATGTGGTTCACCACTGACTGCTTGGGTTTTGAGGACTGGTGATAAACTAGGGACAAAGCCTTCAGGACTGGCAAGAGCTGATGCAGGCCTACATAGATTTCAACTTCTAGTCCTGGCTTATCTTTTATAGAAAACAACTATAAAAGTGGACGAAACAGGGAAGGAGGCAGTTTTCAGTTACTGGACAGTGGACAGCCTAGGGTTCTGATAAGGACCAGGAGAAAGGTAAGTGCCACATTCACTCTGGTTTTCTGCCGAGGGACATTTCCCAAACCATGCAGATACAGGGAGCCCAAAGAGCAATAGCTTCCTCGGGTGGTGGCAACAGGGAGAGGCACCAGAAGCTGAACTTCAGGGCAGGGTTCAGGAAAGGAAGAAGGCGCCCCAGAGAAAGAGAGCACCCCACAAATCTGCACAAGGGTCCAGGTCCCTCTGAATCTTGTCTTTGGCTGACTACTGTGCAGCAGATGTGGGTGATGAGACTGGCATAGCTTGGAAGAGAAGTTGGGGCTGAGTCCACAGGACACTCCAGTGTCCACAAAGTTGGAAAAACATTCATGGGTCAGACAGGATGAGGTCCCTCAATATCCTGGTAGTAAGTTATCACCCCAAAGTCTGAAAAAGGGGCAACATTGACCCAGAGTGAGAATGCCTCTCAGTCTGCCCTAATGCCACCTCACAGCAGGATGCAGTGGAGCTGCCAATTAACTGCCTCTCAGAATACAAACCCATGTTTTTCAAGAGGTCATTCTCACAATGGCTGTCATCCCAACCACTTGGAGGGTCACAAAACCCAGCAGGCCTGGGATGGGGCCGGTACCACCTACCAGGCAACCCTGCAGAGTCCAAGCTTAGACCAGAAGACCACCTCCGATCAGCATGGAAGAGGGCTGGCATGTTTCAGGAGTGCACATTTCAACCTGCTGGCTTAACAACACAGCCAGCACTTAACCACAGTCCCAGAACATTAATTCCCATGGGTCTACCAGAACTTTTAATACTTTATATATAATAAATGATTTTAAATCAAGGGATATGATCTCAAGCTGAGGTGGCCAGCAGCTGAGGACATTTGCCTGCATCTTGTGCTGTTGCACACCAGCACCTCCTGCAACATCTCCTTTCTCTACAGCACAACTCAGACAGCCCAAAGGTCTAGAGTGCTGTCCTTCCTAATCTCTTGCATGCACATTTTATGTAAATTCAATTATATGAATATGGGGCTTTCATTGCGTTTTCCTGAAGTACAGCCTTTAAAAACCAAAATTTTATTTTAAAGATTTATTTATTTATTTATTTATACAAGCCCTGGGTACAATCAGAAGCGCGGGAGGGTGAGAGAATTCACCAGAGCCAGAGCGGGGAGCAGAGCAGGCAGAAGGACCGAAGTACACTGCTGAGGGGAGCAGCGGGCAGCAGGAAAGGTCTGCGCACCATGCGGGACCCTCCTTCGGTGGCCGGGGAGCAGCCGGGGATTGAACCGGCGCTGCAGAGGCTGCAGGCAGCTTCGCAACCCAGTGCTCAACCGCTGTGCCACCGGGGAGGCCCTAAAAA